TATTACGTTGGCGTCATCGTCGTCGTCCGAAGACACATTGGTTTTGGCACTCTAACTTTAGTTTAAGTGAATGGATCTCTATGAAATTTAACCATAAGGTTCAATACCACAAAAGGAAGGTTGGGATTGATATTGGGGGTTATGGTACCAACAGTTAAGGAATTAGGGGCCAAAAAGGGGCCAAAAATAAGCATTTTTGTAACTTCCAGACATAACTTGTGTGTTAGTGTATGGATCTCTCTGTATTGTATCACAAGGTTCCATATCACACAGGGAATGCTGGGATTGATTTTGGGGGTAATTGCCTCAAAATATTAGGAATTAGGGGCAAAAAACAAGCATTTTTCTAGTTTCATGACAATAACTTGTGTGTAAGTGTATTGATCTTTATGAAATTGTACTACAAGGTTCCATATCACAAAGGAAAAGCTAGGTTTGAGTTTGGGGGTAATTGCCCTAAACTTTTAGGAATTTGGGGCCAAAAAACAAGCATTTTTCTAGTTTCCAGACAATAACTTGTGTTCAAGTGTATGGATCTCTCTGAAATTGTACTGCAGGTACCATACCACAAAGGGAAGGCTGGGATTGAGTTTGGGGGTGATGAATAAGAAGGGGGTTCAAAAAATTTGGGGGGGGGGATTTTTTTTTCTTTAAAATTTTCCGTTTTAAATTGGTTATTTCTGATTTATATATAAAAGCAAATAATAATGATATGGTTTGAATAGGTAAATTAAAATTTTTTAAGTTCGAAGACCACATTCATTCTGTGTCAGAAACCTGTGCTGTGTCAAATATTTAATCACAATCCAAATTCAGTGCTGTATCAAGCTTGAATGTTGTGTCCATACTTGCCCCAACTGTTCAGGGTTCGACCTCTGCGATTTTATCAAGCTGCGCCCAGCGGAGCATTTTATTAATTTTAGGTGTAAAAACATTAGTTTTTCGCTGGTGTACATGAATCATGACTTGGAGACCCTGTAAAAATGTTTCTTATAATGCTGATTGAGTTGCTTTATGATGTAATAAATATTAAACTGAGACTAATAATGTCATAAAAAATTGACCTTAGCTGTGTTTAGCTTTTTTAAAACCAAACAAATTTTGTTCAATATTTAATTAACAATTTCAATTTTCATATCTTTCTCAAGCCCACAATGTTTCAACTGTCCTTCTAGAAAGAGTACTAATGACCAACTTTCAAAAATTTGATCATTTACAACAGCTTATTAATATTTTTCATCAGTGAAATCGTTTATAACAGCTTATTAATATTTTTCATCAGTGAAATATTTGTCTTACCTTTAACACTTGTTTATATTGCTGTTGTGAAGTAAAAGTTGGCAGTTGTTTGAGTAAGACAGCACTATTTTACACCTACTACCAACGTGATGTAAACACTGTACCTGCTGATCAAGATAAGGATTGTCAGCTAGCATTACATAACTGCTTCATCTTCTTCTTAAATATGATGGTAATGTCTAGAGTTACATGTAAGTTTCTTTCTCTATCAAATTTTCTAAACATATTGAATTAATATAAACTAAAGTATTTCTTATGGTAGTTTGTAATGCTAAATTGACAGAATGTAAGATCGATTCTCTAAATTTGTTATCTTTGTAATGAGAACTTTTTGAACTAATCAAGCTAGGCAATTAGGTAAATATTTTGCTAATTGTAAATAATAAAGAGCATATTTTTAGAAATATGATGATGCTTAAATGTGTATCAGAAAAACAGAAAGTAGGTATTGCAAGAATTTATCTAAAATTCTTTTTCTGTATAGAATTTCAAAATGATAAGACATGGAGAATTAAAAATAAAAAAGTCTTTTTGTTAAAAAAACTTGTCATTCCTCACAGGAAGGGAAAAACTCTTTTGCCTGCTTTAATGTCCTACCAGAAACATTATTTTGCTTTAAGACAAATTTATGGCAACAACTTTCTCAACAACAAGACATCGCAGGGAGTTGAAAATATCAATAATTGGTTATACTTTCTTTGCAGTGGTATATACCGGTAATCAAATAATTTGAATTGTATATTTTATTAACCCAATATTTGGTTTTTCTATGATTTGTCCTTTTTCCAGAACATATAACAAGCTAGCAGAAAATTCAGGTTAGCAAACCAAACATGTTTCACTGTAGGAATAGATGAATGAATTTTTAAAATCAATTAAGAATCAGATACAATTATTGGAATGGGAAAAGATTAGCAGAAACTTGAACCTTTCAGTGGGGAACATCATTGTTGAACTTCCTCTTTATTGTTTAAAGAAATGTATATTTACTGTTGTTTATTGGTTACCATCGTTACAATGTACTGTTGAAGAGGATGAGTGTAGAAATAAGTAGTAACCTTTTCATGGTTTTTGCCAGATGTAAACAGATCATACATTTTATACTATAACCACATAAAAGCTTCATTTTTGTTTTACATGTACCGGTAGTAGTTTTTTCTTGACGTTTCTTAATTCATTTTTAGTTTAACAAGAGCCCCTAGCCATTTTAAATAACACTTGATACTGGTCCTTTTCAACTGTCATTCAAGTTGATGTGAGAAAGTAAATTGAACTATTGTCAAGCTTGACATTTACAGTCCAAGTTGGTCTGAAATAGACTAAAACAGAAATTTTGGCAAAAGCTAACAAAATCTTATGGATTTCAACCACATGTAGGCCTTGGAAACATAGAGTGCAGTGTTCAACAAACTAAATATTCAGGTCAGATAGTTCATTTGTTACAACAAGCTTTAAAGTTTTAAGTACTTTTAGTGATACATGGGCTTTGTGGTCCTAAAAAACAATGGAAATTACTAGTAGCCTGTTTTCATTGAATTTGGTGGAAAATGTCAATTTATGCTTATTTTGACATTTTCTATATGAGTTTATGTTACAAGTGGGACTAAAGTAGTATTTCTATACCTGTGAAAGTTGTGAATTGAGTTTTACCTTTATGTGCCTGAAATTTCATAGCAGTCTCTATGTACCCTCATTTTTTGCCAATAATATAATAATTCTAACTAGAAGCCCAAACAATCAGCTGATCAAACTTTTGCAACTGTTTTGTTTCATTTATAAATTTAATTTTCATGTCTTTTGGGTCATTTTTTCAATTTGATATTTTATTAATTTTCTGTTTATGAATTTATTTTTTTTATCTGCTACAAGCACCAGAATTCAATGATTAAAATGGATAGTTTATAGGGAAGTGGTTTAGTAATATCTTTGACTAAATGATGACAATGTTTCCATGGGAATTTGAGTTTTACATATAGTGCTAATTGTTAGATTTCCATTCATGTGTCTTAGTATCTTGTTTTATTAAAATCTTCACAGGTGTATTTGAAGGTAAATGTTTTCTCTTTTTCTCTGTGTTTATAAGGCAATAAAACAAATGTGTTTTCTTTAATTTTTGTTGTTGATTAAAATATGTATGTATTGTGTTGAAAAGGACTAAGTTTTGATTTAATCTTTTCTTAGTTCAGTGTTTTATTTTTGATTTCTAATTTTAACAAACATTATTAAATACTTATTTTCTGCTTAAAATTTTCTTTGATATTTTTATTAAAGATCAGTCATTTCATATTTCTTTTTTTTTTTTTTCATCTGGATGTATAATATTTTAAAAGGTACAAATACTGAATTGACTTTGTACTAAATGTTTTTCCTGGATTGACCAATGCATACTGTGTGACAGATAATACAGAGGGATTCCTTTCAATTTGATTCACCTTTATTAGATATATACAGAAGGACAATAGTTTGGAATGGGAAAAATAAGAAAAAATAAGACACATAAAAACTGAAAAGGGCCTAAACAGTCACAACTGTCAGATAACTTGAAACCAGCTATGCCAACAAAGAAAACAAAGCTTAAGTATAAATTACAACATTTATGAACTGCTTCAAACTGTATGTAATAATCACCAAATAAGTGGATGATACTTGAGACTATTAGGCCATAGGTAGTCAGGTATTCACATATTGGTATCACAATAGCAGTACCCACATAGTGGTATCCATACACAAAGTGGTAGAAATTTAAGTCTCGGATAAAGTTTTACTTTGTACAAAGTGCTTTTATGCCTAGAATATGAAAGAACAAAAACAAAAGAAATGGGAGGGAGATTTTGAATTATTAACTATGAATTACTGGTATTAATATCTTTTGAGTAAGTATTTGTACACTCAGCTGATAATACAGCAAATGTTTTTGTAAGAACAGCAGTAAAGTAGAAATTAGATGGAAAATTGAATTGTTACAAGGACAATCTACATAATAAAAAATCAATTGGAAATGTGAGAACCTGCTAATTTGTATACTGATGAACAACTAAGATGTTAACTTTAACATTCTAATGATCAATGGCAATTAGATATTCCAAGGAATTGAGATATTGGTTGTGTGTCAAATAGACAGTATCTAAAAGCAAAAATAAACCCAAACAACAAGAGTTTTTTTTGTATTTAAAATGGAGAGGTGGGGGGTCATCAGAAAATTGTCTGAATGTATATGCAATTTTACATAAAAATGCAAAAATGCAAAAATGAGTTTAATAGATAGATATTATTAAATTTATTGCATAATATTTGATGGAGAAATTGTAGTTAATGAATTAAGGAAGTCTATTTGTATAGTGGTTTTATTATAAGGGAAATTTAACCTTATATATAACCAAGCAGTGTTTCTATGGCTGAGGACTCCATTTAATATCTGTTCCTTGCTCTTAAAACATTGCCATTGTAAATTGTTTAAAAATCTACCAGAATTTGATACATTGATTTGGACCAATGTTTTCATCCTCAGGAAACCACTATTTTTGAACATAGAATGCATGAATTACCAGATGTGCCTCTACCTGGAAGCCTTTGATTTATATTACAAACAGAGTTGCATAATAATATCTTTGTCAACTCCAAGGTAACAGGTCTGTAAGAAAAAATATGGTCTCCAATGTAAACTTTTCATTTCTGCATTTAATCAAATCATCTTTTTATAGGCACAGATACAGATAAAGCTGAGGGGACAGAGAAAATTAACTCGGGGGAGAATGTTGATTCAGTGGTAACAACAGAATTGTCACAGTGTACAACCATTACTACACAAGCTGAAATCACACCTGTTAGTTCTAGTGCTGACACACCAGGTATGACTTGTCATTACTACACAAGCTGAAATCACACCTGTTAGTTCTAGTGCTGACATACCAGGTATGACATATCATTACTACACAAGCTGAAATCACACCTGTAAGTTCTAGTGCTGACATACCAGGTATGACATGTCATTACTACACAAGCTGAAATCACACCTGTAAGTTCTAGTGCTGACATACCAGGTATGACATGTCATTACTACACAAGCTGAAATCACACCTGTAAGTTCTAGTGCTGACATACCAGGTATGACATGTCATTACTACACAAGCTGAAATTACACCTGTTTGTTAAAGAACTGACACACCAGGTATGATATGTCATTACTTCAAAAGCTGAATTCACATTTGTTAGTTCTAGTGCTGACACAGCAGCTTAAGCTGAATTCATACCTGTTAGTTCTAGTGTCAACACACCAGGTATGACATGTCATTACTACACAAGCTGAAATCACACATGTTAGTTATAGTGCTGAAACACAACATATGACATGTCATTACCACACAAACTGAATTCACACCTGTTAGTTCTTGTGCTGTTACACCAGGTATGACATGTCATTTCTACACAAGCTGAAATCACACCTTTTAGTTCTAGTGCTGACACACCAGGTATCATATGTCATTACTACAGAAGCTGAAATCACACCTGTTAGTTCAAGTGCTGACACACCAGGTATGACATGTCATTTCTACACAAGCTGAATTCTCACCTTTTAGTTTTAGTGCTGACACACCAGGTATGATATGTCATTACTACACAAGCTGAAATCACATTTCTTAGTTCAAGCGTTGACACACCAGGTATGACTTGTCATTACTACATAAGCTGAAATCACACATGTAAACTCAAGTGCTGACACACCAGGTATGACTTGTCATTACTACACAAGCTGAAATCACACCTGTTAGTTCTAGTGCTGAAACACCACATATGACATGTCATTACTACAAAAGCTGAAGTCACACCTGTTAGTTCTAGTGCAGAAACACCACATGTGACATGTCATTACTACACAAGCTGAAGTCACACCTGTTAGTTCTAGTGCTGAAACACCACATATGACATGTCATTACTACACAAGCTGAAGTCATGCCAGTTTGTTCAAGTGCTATTGATGTAAGCAATTACAAATGCTGACAGTTACCAAACTGCCTTTAAAAAATGAGCAAAACACATACAACATAGTCAGCTATGACACGCCCCAACATGACAAAATGTAAAACGATTTAAACAAGAAAACTTTAGGCCTAATTTATAACTAAGCAGTTTATGAAAAACGAGTATTACAGACATGAACCAACGACAACCACTGAGAAGATGCAATAACATGAACAAGAAATTATAAATAATGGACAGACATAACCATTATAATATCTCTGCACTTTTTAAAAAAAACTTAGGGGATAACATGTGGTAAACGTCTCCTATAAAACTGGAGACAAAATAAGGTTCTCCAAACGGATAAACGATGTTTGCTTCACTCTTACACCTATCCAGCTGTTCACGGTAAAGGTCTGATAACAAGAAAACAAGGACGAATTCAGACAGAAAGCTATGGCCAGCAGGGAAAACTCTTCACTTAATGAACTGCATGACTTTTATCAAATGACAATATGAATGCTAAAAATAGACATACTAATTCAATTCAGTCATAGACCTGCTTTTGCAGGTGAGTTCTAGTACAGATATAAAATAGATGTAATGATTATTTAACTTTTGTTTTAGCTCTAACCACTGCACAGGCCAGACCTATGGTATTTCCTAAACTTCCCAATGCTGATAAACCTGAACCTGCTCCAAAGGAGGTTACCATGGAAACAGCCATTCCAACAAAAGAAGAATCTTCCACAACTAAAGAAGATACATCTGTATCAGATAAACCTTCAGGTGTAGAAGTTACAAAAAGTAGGCACTTTAATGTTATTGTATTTATTTGGGGTAGCTTTTGTCTTTCCACTAAATGAGATTACAATGGGGAAAATTTAATGTTTTAAATACTAGATAATCCCATCACATGTTCAAGTAGGGAATCAGTAGTTTCAATAGTTATTTAATTTTTCATTAAGGAAATTCTGTTTTGATTGCATTTCTTTGACAGTCTCTTTAAAAGGTTACTAGTATTCAAAATATTCTAGACTCTAAGGTGATTGATAGATTGATATACTGTAAAGGCAATTGTTTAACACTAGATGTCTTGTTTGTGTGCCATTGGGTTGCTGTGTCAATGATGTATAGCCCTATTCTATTGTTTTTTTTTTTTTATTTTCTGATATTTATATGGAAGCAGCTTATACTGAAGATACAGTTTCTAAATTCAATATGAAAAGAAGAAAAAAAACATGCTGAATTAAAAAAAACCAAAAAAACCATTAGCATCAAACTGAACAATTAAAGATTGTAAAAGCTCTGACAGTGATTCTCAGATGAAGATGGCAATACATACTAGTAACAAAGAGTACTGTAGAGCTGGTTATTGTAATGCAGCTTCAATTTCAAGATTTCTGCGAAAATAACCGTCCTGAGGTTTCCCCTGATTTTGGACATTTATTTACTTTCACCCATGCACATAAGTAATACTGTATATATAATTACACAACATACATGTAAACACATCAAATATCGAACAAGAACCATCTATGATACAACAGATACCAAACAATAACCATCTATGATACAACAGATACCAAACAATTACCATATATATAATACAACAGATACCAAACAATTACCATCTGTGATACAACAGATACCAAACAATTACCTACCATCTATGATACAACAGATACCAAACAATTACCTACCATCTATGATACAACAGATACCAAACAATTACCTACCATCTATGATACAACAGATACCAAACAATTACCTACCATCTATGATACAACAGATACCAAACAATTACCATCTATGATACAACAGATACCAAACAATTACCATCTATGATACAAGATACCAAACAATTACCATCTATGATACAACAGATACCAAACAATTACCATCTATGATACATACATTGTATCCTCACTATAACCCACTGTCCTGAAAAGCTTGCAGCACTTTTTATTCAGGCTGAGGTGCTTAAACTACTTTACATGCATTTAAAACTGTTACAAATAATTTATGTATATCAATTTTCTTAAATGATACGTTTTTGGGCTCAAACAACAGATATCTGATGTGTTGTGGTATCCTGAAAGATTATGTCTATGTATGATAAGACCTATAAACAGTTGTATTAATATACCAAGTGGTGCTCCTTCTTTTAAGAAAATTGTATATTTTACAGATAATGAACAACAACAAGTAAATAAATCAGAACAAAAGAATGAAAAGCAGGAAGAAGAGGAAGAGCCAGAAATAATATATCCTGAAGGATATGCACCTGTTCCTGCTAGTGAACCTGACTTGTCATTAATACCTAAAAAAAGTGCTTTGAAAGGGGCAGGTGGAGGAGGCGATATTAAGCCTGTCACACCTGTGTCTCGAGATAAAAATGATAATCATTCTCATGTGAACTTTTCTCATGTAGATGTTATAACTACACCTCAGATATCAAATGTGATAAAACAGCCCTCACCAAAGCCTTCACCAAAATCTACACCCTTATCTAGTGCTATGGCTCGGCCAAAACTTAGAGGCGGTTTAGCGTAAGTTTTTGCTAAATAAATTACATTTGATTTATGATTTTTTTTAAGGGTAAAAAGGAATTAAGAACTATGTCCATTTAAATCAATCAGTTGCTGGTCATAATCTAATAATAACTTTTATAACAAATTCAGCCACATTACAACATATTGTATTTGCTCGAAAGGTAAATGGATTAAACATAGGTCAAAAGTACTACTGTAGTCATCTCTACAGTACAATAAAGCTATACAATTTTAAACTAAGCAGGCATTATAAAGTATATATACACTAAAATAACTATTATGAAGCGGAAAAAAATAACTCCACAAGTGACATAATATTGTTTTAGTTTTAACTTGAACAAAGGTCAGTATGATATTTTAACTTGGAGAACATCTGATGTCAGTAATAGGTTTGCAATATCAAAAGTAAATTTGACCTTTAAAATAATTTTATATTGGCATTTAAATCTAGCAGCAGGTGAGACTTGTTTGTAAACTCTTGCTACTAGTGATTAACTACTTACATTTCAGCTTTGTCAGTCAGTGTCAAGGTAGATTATATCCTTCAGGGGCCTATAACATTTTTGAAGAAATAAAAATCGTTTTGCTCCAATGAATCTGTATTTGAATAGTTTGTGCATTCATGATATTTTGTTAAAAAAAATTCTTGCAAAATTATTAAATTTTGCGGTCGTATTTTGGTATAACAATGGCGTCGTCATCGTCCAAAGACACATTGGTTTTCGCACTCTAACTTTAGTTAAAGTGAATGGATCTCTATGAAATTTTACCATAAGGTTCAATACCACAAAAGGAAGGTTGGGATTGATTTTGGGGATTATGGTACCAACAGTTAAGGAATTAGGGGCCAAAAAGGGGCCAAAAATAAGCATTTTTGTAACTTCCAGACATAACTTGTGTGTTAGTGTATGGATCTCTCTGACATTGTACCACAAGGTTCCATATCACAAAGGGAATGCTGGGATTGATTTTGGGGGTAATTGCCTCAAAATTTTAGGAATTAGTGACCAAAAAGGGGCAAAAAAAAAAGCATTTTTCTAGTTTCCAGACAATAACATGTGTTCAAGTGTATGGATCTCTCTGAAATTGTACTGTAAGGTACCATATCACAAAAGGAAGGCTGGGATTGAGTTTGGGGGTGATGAATCATAAGGGGGTTCAAAAAATTTAGGGGGAGGGATTTTTTTTTCCTTTTTTTCCTTTTTTTTTCTTTAAAATTTTCCATTTTAAATTGGTTATTTCTGATTTATATATAAAAGCAAATAATAATGATATGGTTTGAATAGGTAAATTAAAAATTTACAAGTTCTTAGACCACATTCATTCTGTGTCAGAAACCTATGCTGTTTCAAATATTTAATCACAATCAAATTCAGTGTGTATCAAGCTTGAATGTTGTGTCCATACTTGCTCCAACTGTTCAGGGTTCGACCTCTGCGGTCGTATCCAGCTGTGCCCAGCGGAGCATTTTATTTCTATTATAGTATAGTATCAAATATATCATTAATATTTCTTTGTTAAAGAAAATGCAATATTTTCTGATATTTTTACTAGTCATCCTGTATAATATACCTAAAAAATCAAGCATTTCCGATTATTTAGAAATATTGCATTCTTTTCTTTTTCCTTAAAGTTTGGTACATACTAGAAAGGTACTAAGTAAAATGATATTTACTTACAACCAAATTTGAGATAAAACAAGATTGTAGAAATTGACTTTGCGTCCTTACTGCCGGCGTCTGAGCTGCAGGAATTGCACAAAATATTGTCACTGTTACCAAAATATTTTGTACTAAATTATAAAAGGGTTATTGCACTTATTTGGAGGGACACTTTCCTGAGCAGTATATCATATTGCCTCCGCAAACTGTTGTACTGAAATTACTGTTTATCTCACAGTTCAATTTTGGGTCCTCAATATGGTCCATATTTAAGTCATGTTGATTTCATTCAAAAAGAAGTTTAAAGGTTGGGAAGTAAAAATCTAAGGCTGTACGGTGACCTATAGTTGTTAACTTCTACATCATTTGGTCCCTTGGGGAAAGTTGCCTCATTGGCAATCATACCACATCTTCTTATTTTTTTATAAACATTTAAGCATAAATATTTTGAATTGCAAGATAAAAACAATATTAGTATATCAGCCAAAATATAATATTTATTTGTACTCGCAACGAAACAGGAGAAAAGCTCAGCAAGCCTCACTTTCCTCTCTGTTTCTATAGCTCATACAAATAAATTATATATTTTCCAACAATGTACAGATATTGTATATTTATACCACTGAGCACTGAATTTTTTGTCAGTCTAATATGGTGTTGGTATATACTGTGTAGGACATATAGCATGTATAGTGTGCTAACTCCTTATTCATGTCTTTGAAGTAACAATTAGCAGTGAATGATCTTAATTCTTTAGTTATGAAGTTTTTCCACTTATTTCCTATAAATGCAATTGATAATATTTTTTTAAGTATGCATACCTTTCATTATTTTTCAGCCATTTCTCTACGGACAGCAATAAAGAAAATGTACCTATTCCGGTTTCCATGCCAACAGTTCCTCCAACTACCACGTCTTCCCATTCTAATGATGATTCCTCGTCAGATGATGAAGAGATTCGTTATCGTGATGAGGAGGAAGAAGAAGATGAAGAACAAGAACTGAGTAGGTTTTTAACTGTTTATAAAAAGCAATCAAATATATAAATCTTGTAATTGAAATACTCTAATGTTTACAAGACACTCAAAGACAGTACCATTTCGAAGATTGTGTCAACCATTAGTTTTTAAATAATGAACTGATGATATTTATGCCCCCACCATAGCGGAGGGGGTATTAAGTTTTACCCTTGTCCGTCTGAACGTCCGTACATACGTCCCATAGTTGGTTTCCGTTCTCGAACTTTAGTTTGCCTCAACCAAATGTTATGAAACTTATACACCATGCTTATTACCACAAACCACAGATTTAGTTTTAATTTTGGTGGCATCACTCTAACCTTTCTATAGTTATGCCCCTTTACAAATGGAAAAATTGCTGAATTTTTGTCGAGCCTGTGACTTTTGTCGCAGAAAGCTCGACATAGGGATAGTGATCTGGCGGCGGCAGCATAAGCTAACTTCTAAAAAGCTTTATATTTTAGAAGGTGGAAGACCTGGATGCTTCATACTTTGTATATGGATGCCTCATGTTACGAAGTTTCCGTCAGTCACATGTCCAATGTCCTTGACCTCATTTCCATGGTTCAGTGACTACTTGAAAAAAGTGTTAACTTTTTTTGTAATGTTAAATTCTCTCTTATTATAAGTAGTAGGATAACTATATTTGGTATGTGCGTAGCTTGCAAGGTCCTCATGCCCGTCAGACAGTTTTCACTTGACCTCGACCTCATTTCATGGATCAGTGAACAAGGTTAAGTTTTGGTGGTCAAGTCCATATCTCAGATACTATAAGCAATAGGTCAAGTATATTTGGTGTATGGAAGGACTGTAAGGTGTACATGTCTAACTGGCAGGTGTCATCTGACCTTGACCTCATTTTCATGGTTAAGTTCTCTAACTTTAGTTTGCCTCAACCAAATGTAATGAAACTTATACACAATGCTTATTACCACAAAATACAGACCAAGTTTGAATTTTGGTGGTGTCACTTTAACCGTTCTAGAGAAATGCCCCTTTACAAATGGAATAAAATGCTTCACTAAGTGCAGCTGGATACGACCGCAGAGGTCCAACCCTGAATGGTTGGGGCAAAAATGGACAATATTTGCACTTGATACAGCTCTAAATTTGGATTGTAATTAAATATTTGACACATAATAGGTTTCTGACACCGAATAACTGTAGTCAAAGAAATTGGAATTGGTTATATGTTTTGAATTTATATTCAATTTTTTGCTTTTGTGTGCAATTCACTATGCTGTTGGGAATTGACCCCCCCCCCCAACAAAAACAAAAAAATACCCCCCCCCCCTTTTATTTTGCTTTTGTGAAATACACTATGCGGTTGCATATTGACCCCCCTCCCCCCAAAAAAAAAATTGTTTTTGAACCCCTCCCCCTTTTTATTGCAAAAAAAAAATAATTGAAGAAATTTTCTTTTTAATTTCTGAAATCTGAAATAAAAAAAAAATTGCCCCCCACAATTTCTTTTCTAGCCCCCTCCACCACCCCCCCCCCCTTACCTCCCTTACACTGCTTTTAAATTGTCCATTAACCAGGCAACCCTTGTTTTTTTCCCCTAATTCCTAAACGGTTTGAGCCATAACCCCCCAAAGCCAATCCTAACCATCTCTTTGTGGTATGGAAACTTGTGGTATAATTTCAGAGAGATCCATACACTTAAACATAAGTTATTGTCTGGAAGTTACAAAAATGCTTATTTTTGGCCCTTTTTGGCCCCTAATTCCTTAACTGTTGGTACAATAACCCCCAAAATCAATCCCAACCTTCCTTTAGTGGTATTGAACCTTATGGTAAAATTTCATAGAGATCCATTCACTTAAACTTAAGTTATTGTGTGAAAACTAATGTGTCTTCGGACGACGATGACGCCAACGTCATACCAATATACGAAACTTGTGGTAAAATTTTATGCGGTCGTATAAAAATTGCTGAATTTTTCGTTTCCGTTCTCTAACTTAAGTTTGCCTCAACCAATATTTTATGAAACTTATACTCATTAGTTATTACTACAAAACTCAGACCAAGTTCAAATTTTGGTAGCATCACTTTTACTGTTCTTCAGTTATGTCCCTTTATAACTTAATATGATATGCAAGCGGGGGCATCATCTGTGTCCCATGGACACATTCCTCATTTTTTTTTAAATCTTTTTTTATGCCCCCGCCGTAGCGGAGGGGGCATTAAGTTTTACCCTTGTCCTTCTGTACATACGAACGTACGTCAGTACGTACGTACGTCCCAAAATTGGTTTCTGTTCTGTAACTTCAGTTTGTCTCAACCAAATGTTATGAAACTTATTCACAATGTTTATTACCACAAAATACAGATTAAGTTTGAATTTTGGTGGCGTCACTTTTACCGTTCTAGAGTTATGCCCCTATACAAATGAAAAATTGCTGAATTTATCGTTTCCGTTCTCTAACTTTAGTTTGCCTCAACCAAATGTTATTAAACTTATACACAATGCTTATTACCACAAAATACAGATCAAGTTTGAATTTTGGTGTAGTCACTTTTACCGTTCTAGAGTTATGCCCCTTTACAATGGAGAAATTGCTGATTTTTTCGTTTCCGTTCTCTAACTTTAGTTTGCCTCAACCAAATGTTATGAAACTTATACACAATGCTTATTATCACAAAACACAGATCAAGTTTGAATTTTGGTGGTGTCACATTTACTGTTCTAGAGTTATGCCCCTTTACAAATGGAAAAATTGCTAAATTTTTATTTTCTTCTTAATATCAAGTTATTTTTAAAATTGGAGTTATCTTTCTTTTTCCATGATTATAGTTGAATCAACTACAATCAATGCTTTATACAATGCAATGTTTAATTTTGTTTTCCACTGATAAAACGCAGATCAAGTTGAATTTGGGTAGTGTCACTTTAACCATTATTAAGTTTTGCCCCTTTATAAATAGAAAGATTGCAAAATTTTTAGTTTCCATTCTGTAACTTAAGTTTGCCCCAACCAGACATTATGAAACCTATACACAATATTCATTACCATAAAGGGGCCTCGGTGGCCGAGTGGTCTAAGTAGTTACTGCTGTAATCACTAGCCAGTCAACACTGAGGTTGTGAGTTTGAACCCCGCTCCTGCAGGTGCACTCGACTCCAATCTTAATTGACTAGGATTGTCAGTTTTCCTATCGAAGGTCGGTGGTTTTCTGCGGTAACTCCGGCTTACTCCACCAATAAACACTGGCCGCCACGAAATAGCCCAAAAGCGGTGCTTAAAAGTTGCGTTAAAACACCAAAAATCAATCAATCATTACCACAAAACTAAGATCAAGTACAAATTTTTTGTTTCCGTTTTCTAACTTTAGTTTGCCTCAACCAAATGTTATGAAACTTATACACAATGCTTATTACTACATAATACAGATTAAGTACGAAATTTGGTGGCAACACTTTTACCATTCTTGAGTTATGTCCCTTTATAAACATAAAAATTGCTGAATTTTTCATTTCTGTTCTCTAACTTTAGTTTGTCTCATCCAAATGTTATAAAACTTATACACAACCCAGTCAGGATTCTACTTCGTCAAAATTATCTCCCCATTACGCCAGTTCATTTTTACAATCGTAAAAATGGAAGCCATTGTAGGGATGACGCGCTGCCAATTTAGCTCTTGCAAACCGATAAATTTATCCGCATAGCACCATTACGATCCTTATATGCCAGTTGTATTTTAAAAGACAAATGTATCTACTAGCTAATGAACATCGGTTAATGTACTTGTCTGCATTCAGTCAACTTAAAACTATTGTCTGATCGGTTGTCAGGTAGAATTTTCGAAAAATTCATAAACATTTAAAAAAATTCTAATTCAAAATTTTGTGGAAGGGCAGACTAAAAATTTTCAGTGGTTGAAGACTATAAACCCTAGATATCACACACAAAAAATGAAGCTTTTTCGAAGATATGCATTTTTAAGATCCAACTTAAAAGTCTGTCGTCAAGTACTTTTAGTAAAAATTTGCTATTCGAACACACCTACTCTGTTTTTCTGATTGATTAGAAAGGTATTTTCACTTGACCTATATATTTCATTTTTTTACTACTGTGAATTTTCGATGTTATAAAGTCAACCTGTAGCCTTGATATATGAAAATGATAGAATCTGAAGCGAGATGATGTATCAAATACTTTTGCTTTTTACGTTTTCAAGACAAAATATTCAACTCAAACACGCCCTAACATAAAAAGGTGCACTCGATTTTCTCTTTTCGATGCAATTGTTACCCATTTTTTGGAATTTTTTCTCGAGTCACATAATGGAAGGGCAGAAACGAAAATTTAAGAACAAATAGATTGATATGTTCTCCGTCCGTGGTAAATTTTTTTGAAAAATCGGAGGTTATGCATTTTTTAGATCCAACTTAATAGACACCCATGTCGTCGACTTGATATCTAATTGTTCTGCTTAATTATGTAATAGATAAATTTATTTCTATTCCGTTATATTTGGAATTTCCCTATTCTATTTCTATCTTTAGACTTGTGGTACAAGTTTGGCTAGTATGTAAATCAGAAGAGGTCTGATGTTACTGTTGTTTTCTGCACGAATATTTCGAGGGGGGTAGTACGGGTGGGGTTTTATAGGCATATATAAGTCCTGATTACGTTTGATTATTATCGATGTGCTCCAGTAACTTTGATAGACGAAGTTAACGTTAAGCTCTGCATAATATATTACAGTTATGTTTGTATTGATATGTATTTAGAGGACATTGTGAATGTATATAGATGGAATTGTGGTATATTTTTGTAATTTGTAAAATGTTTACAAGATATTAAATGTTGTTTCGCTGAGAAAATAAGAAAGTTACTGCGAGCAAACAAACCTAAATTATGACTTGTCTCTTATTTAGCCATGTATTTAGTATAGAAATGTTTTAAATTCGGACGAATTCATGAGGGAGAATTTAAATTGAAAATTTATGCAAATTGTGTTTTTATGATAAAATATTTCTTAATTTAGCAAAAAACTGTCATTTTATTTGTTTCTATTAACTTTTAAAATTTGTGTTACTACAGTAAACATTACAGTAAGCATTTATCGCCTTCTCTAACAAAGAGCTTCGATTCTTTTGTTCTATTTCAACTGGGTTTCCGCCTGAACCATTTTAGAGTTATGCGTGTTTACAAATAGAAAAATTGCTGAATTTTTAGTTTCTGTTCTCTACTTAAGTTAGCCTCAACCAAATGTTATGAGACTTACACACAGTGCTTATTACCACAAAACTCAGATCAAGTTCAAATTTGGGTATTGTCACTTTTACCGTTCTTCAGTTATGTCCCTTTATAACTATGTGATATGCAAGCGGGGGCATCATCTGTGTCCACATGTGGACACTATCCACATTTATTTTGATTTTGGTCCTAAACAAGGTTGGGCAGTAAATACCGCACTATTAATTTATCTTATAATAAGGCATTTTTTCAAAGATTTTCCTGTCTATTTTCAAATAGATATAAGAAAATGTGGTATGAGTGCCAATGAGACAACTCGCCATCCAAGTCACAAATCAAACACTTGTTAACTCATTAATTTTTACTTTTTGTTGTTCTTAAACAAATTGTAGTTAATAAGTGACTTTCTATCCTGTGACTGTATCTGTCCATTTAACACTTAAAAGACCAGGTAGGGACTTGTTTCTTTAGTAATGTCCTATAAAAATTTCATTTGACCTCAATGTTTTTTTGGCCAACCTTGGGACTCTTGAATGTGAATCTGAATATTTATGCATTCATGATATTTTGTTTGAAAAAATGTGTCCCACCTCCTCACCACTTTTTGTCTCGCCTTTACGGCATTGGAGGTGGGGGTGGCGGTGGTGGTGTCAAAAATGTATTAGTTTTTGATTAGGTCTAGTTTGTGGTAAACCACTAGTTGTAGATCAATGATATTTGGTATGCAGTTGTATAAGAATTGACACATCTCATTTCCATGGAGATAATTTGGCCCTGACCCCTCAGTCATGGTCTATTGACTTTGAATCTTTTGCTTAGTTTACATGTATTAGTTCCTGATTAGGTCAGTTTAAGAGGAACCATTAGTGGTAGTCCAATGTTATTTGGTATGCAGTTGTACAAGCATAAGCACATCTCATTTCCATGGAGAATATTTGGCCCCGCCCCCTCAGTTATGGTCTATTGATACTTTTGCTTAGTTTACATGTATTAGGTTGTAATTAGATCAGTTTAAGATGAACCACTTATGTTAAGTCAATGATATTTGGTATGCAAATGTATTGGCATTTGCAAGTCTCGTTTTCATGGAGATTATATAGCCCCAACCCCTTGTTCATGGTTCATTGACTTTGAAACTTTTACATAGTTTACAAGTTAATGTTTGTGTTTAGGTTTATTTAAAGGGAACAACTTATGATAAGTCAATGGTATTTGGTATGCAGTTGTATTAGCATGTACCTTCAGTCATGGTTCATTGACTTTGAATATTTGCATAACTTACATGTTAAAGTATTGCTATTTTAATATCAACATTTGCATTATCGAAATTACAAAAAGGCGAGACATATCTCTGTGATAACAATTTGTTTGCTTTGATGATATTTTGTTAACATTTCTTTCAAATGATCTAATAATTGATATGTACAAAACTATCTGTCAATACACAGTAAGTAAAAATTATTCATTGTGACAACTTCAGATAATCTTTTCAAACAAGTTATTTAATCTGACTTCGCTGAATGAATGATTTTAATAGTAGAGAAATTCAACATAAATTTTTTTGCAGGTTCATTAGCAGCAAAAGTAGCTCGCCAAGATAGTTTAGCAAAATTTTTAAGCTCTCGACCAACACGTCGGGAATTAGTAGAGAAAAATATTATACATTCTGTATCAGAAGATCAAGATAAAGAGAGGAGGTCTGCCATAGGAACAGCTTTAACTAGGTGTGTATCAACAACATAAATAAACACATGCATAAGTCAAATTCATTTATTTATCACAAAACAATATTTCAAGAAGGTGATGCCAGAAAAAAAGTGAAAAGAAGTTGAGGTTGAGTAGGAAGCACTAATATGAATTATGTATTAATTTGGTTCAAATGACATTTAAAAAGTAAATACTCTGATTTTATATTCTAATTTGTATTGGTGATGAATTTGAGGTGTTCCTAGCCCGAACAAACAACATCTTTATTCTAAACACCTGTTAATACAATAGGTTTTTTTACTCATGACAGTTACATTTTTTTTTATGCCCCCGCTGTGGCGGAGGGGGCATTAAGTTTTACCCTTGTCCGTCTGTACGTCCCAAAGTTGGTTTCCGTTCTCTAACTTTAGTTTGCCTCAACCAAATGTTATAACCGTTCTAGAGTTATGCCCCTTTATGAATGGAAAAATTGCAAGATTTTTATTTTCTTCTAAATATCAAGTAATTTTTTAAAATTGGAGTTATCTTCTTTTGTCCATGATTATAGTTTAATCAACTACAATCAATGCTTTATACAATGCAATGTTTAATTTTGACTTCCACTGATAAAACACAGATCAAGTTGAATTTGGGTAGTGTCACTTTAACCATTATTGAGTTATGCCCCTTTATAAATCGAAAGATTGCAAAATTTTTAGTTTCCATTCTGTAACTTAAGTTTGCCCCAACCAAGCATAATGAAACCTATACACAATATTCATTACCACAAAACTAAGATCAAGTACAATTTTTTTGTTTCCATTTTCTAACTTTAGTTTGCCTCAACCAAATGTTATGAAACTTACACAACCGTTCTAGAGATATGCGTGTTTACAAATAGAAAAATTGCTGAATTTTTAGTTTCTGTTCTCTGCTTAAGTTATCCTCAACCAAATGTTATGAGACGTGCACACAATGCTTATTACCACAAAACTCAGATCAAGTTCAAATTTGGGTAGCGTCACTTTTACCGTTCTTCAGTTATGTCCCTTTATAACTATATGATATGCAAGCAGAGGCATCATCTGTGTCCACATGTGGACACTATCCACATTTATTTTAAATCAATTCAACATGAAACATTTAAAATGTTGAAATTGAAGAATTGTTTATTGCAATTCAGTTTAAGAATCTCTTTCTTCAATAATTTTAAATATGTATTTGTAACCCAATGTAGGTTCAAGAGCTTCATGCTGGTTTTTTTTTTGGTGACTTCATAGAACATTTTTAGGATATGCCTATTATTGTTATACATGACATTTACCCCCTTCAATTTTTGCATATTGATTGTTGCAAAATTTTTGTGATCTTATAATGATATGACGTTGTCGTTGTCGTTGTCGTCATCATCGTCCGAAGACATCTGGTTTCAAGACAATAACTTGAGTATAAGTGTATGGATCTCTATGAAATTGGACCACAAGGTCCAATACCACAAATTGATATTGGGGGTTATTGTCCTAACTTCAGGAATTAGGGGCCAAAAACAAGCATTTTTTTAGCTCACCTGGCCCTATTTTCTCATCACTTGGCGTCCGTCATCGTCAATGTCATCTGTTAACTTTTACAAAAATCTCCTCTAAAACTACTGGGCCAAATTTAACAAAACTTGGCCAAAATCATCATTGGGGTATCTAGTTTAAAAAATGTATCCGATGACCCTGCTTGCCAACCAAGATGGCTGACATGGCTAAAAATAGAACATAGGGGTAAAATGCAAGTTTTGTCTATTATTTGGAAAACAATTATAAAAAGAGAAAATCTGTCACGTGCAAAAATGTTCAAAATGTTGAGCTCTACCAATTGTCCATATACGTCAAAACTGATAGACGACTTCTTGTAGGAGTTATTGCCCTTAAATGACAAATTTTACCATTTTTTTTCATTTTTGCCTTATATCTTAAAAATTATAATAGATAGATAGAAACTTGAATAAGCAAAAATGATCAGCAAGACAAGATCTACAATTAAGGCAATATCGTGGAAATCGTCTGACGACTCCTTATTGAAGTTATTGCCTTATCATTTTTTGCATGTTTTGCCTTTTATAAGTCCAGATAATCTTGACATCTGCTGTGGGTATTTAAAAAAAATCTGATTTTTAAGAATTATGACCCTGCCTGAATTTGCCCTTGCAGGTCATAAAGGAAAATCAGTCAAATAAAGACAAATTTTAAGAATGTCCCTTGAAAGAGAATCAAGAGCTTTTGGTTAAGATGCAGACTTTTTAAAAAAAAAAATAAGATACTCAAGATTACTAGGTATGATAGAGTGAGAGAGTTTTTTTTATCCGGGGTAAAATATAATGTCTTTAATTTAATTTGTTTATCTATTTTTCTTTTTTATAAAACAACTTATAACGTAATCATAACAGCCTGGTTTCACCTTAATTCCGGTGATCTTTTAATGATTTAAAGACCAGATAGGTTGTAGAACAGATTAACCCCAGGGTCAATGTAATTATGACATTTAAAAAAAAATAAGTTTAATGACAAAATATCACCTTATTAAATGGCTCACTGGACATAAACATTTCATGAAAATGAAAAGCAATCAAAATTTTACTATTGGTTTGCATTCTACTAAACCAAAATTATTTTATGATACTTAAAATGTATTGTTGACAAAAGAATTTTACACAACTGAAATAATTTTATAATTTAGTTTGTTTTTGAGAAATTTGGTCTGATGAACATGCATCTGTAGAAACTTGTCATAAAGCAATACAAAATATGACAAAGTTCTAATTATTTACCTGTTGCCAAAAATTTGAACATTTTTGTATCAGCATGAAGTACTTTTTCACAATTTGAACATTTTTGCATGAGCATGAAGTACTTTTACACATGTAAAATGTTGATGTTTATTATATTTTACAGACGATTGAGTTTGCGTCCTTCACAAGAAGAACTAGAACAAAGAAATATTTTACACAGTAAGTTTACACAAAATATTTTTACAGAAGTAGATAAAAGTATACATTTCTTATGAAGCTAGTATTCAAATTTGTATGAAATTTATGTAGGTCTTAATGTGTAAGGAATTATATTTGTTATTACAGTGCCTTAATAAAAAAAATATATTCTGTGAATGTTTCAGTTGTTGAAAACTTAAGTTTTTTGTTTATTTAGAATAAATTGAGACAATGTGGATTAGCATTAATTTGATTATGCTGCCACAAAATATACAGGTAATTAAAAAAAGACCATATTATGTGATGTGATTAATTAATGGATGTCTTAGAATTAATTTCTTTTGATTTGATTAAATTTGTAATCAACAGGTGACCCTGTACCTGTAATCAGATTAATGTAATTTACATGTAGGTGTTACGTTAAAACATGACAGAACATTGGTCATCTATATATAAAATGACATGTGACACAACATTTGTTATTCATTTCATGCTTTGACACCACAAGCTCTACCTGATCATTGAACATTTGTTATTAGCAGTAAAGATACAAAATGAATTGTCATGAAAATTTGAATATCTCCAACAAACAGTTGAAAAATTTGATGAACATTCTTACGTCTGCAAACTGTAGTTTGTTACAAGATTGTTTAAATGTTCTGAAAAGCAACATGAGGAGTTATTTTCAATATTTGTTAATAGTGCAAAGTAGTGAAGAAGCAAGAAAAGAAAAAGAAGAGAAGAAAAAATTTCTCATAAGAAAGGTAATTATTAAGATTTTTTGCTTTTCCTCTATTTTCTTCAACTGATCTATTTAAAATTGCTATAAATACATAAAGAGAGTAAACAGGAGACAAAAATCTTTTATTTTCTTAATTTACTCCGTTCAACAGAAAATAAATAATTTATGTACTCTTGACTTCCAATTCTCTTATAACACCCTAATACCAACCACGAAAAGTGAATACGTATGTCTCAAATATTTGACTGACAATGAAATTATTTCTGTATTAATAAAGAAAAACACCATTATAGAGAATGTCAGGTGCGGTGACCATCTTCAAATTTATTATGCACATATAAATCACAAGAAGATAAATTGTATGCACCGCAATGTCATCAGTTTCATTCAAATAACATATAATCTACAAAAAAGAAGCGCACAATTTAAATATGAATACTACATATATATAATGCACGAACTGTTATACTGAAGATTAATCTTCCTATACACAAATACGTATTACTCTTGAAATGGTCTTGTCCATGTCGATAACTTTCTTGTGCACGCATGACTTTAAATACTAACAGGACTCTATTATTATTACAATGAGCCCGCTTTCCATACTAAAAAATTCATACGCCTACCGTACATAAATGTATTTATAAGAAAATCATAACAGTATGTATGACAAGAGTTATCCCCTGTTCTTTCATATAAACAACAGTTGTTCCGAAATTTGCATTTATTAATATTTGCCCCTTTCCTTTAGTGAACATCATTTATTTTCAGACAATAAATTTTAATTTAAGATAGAAGATATCCTTGTCAAGCAAATCCTAGGATATGATACTTATTACAAAGCCTTGTTTCATGGCCTATAAAAGATTTAATCTTTTCCAAACAAACCAATTTCCCAGAACTGGAAAAAATGTATGCATCACTTCATCAACAAGGTATTTGACAGACTACAAAAATTTTGTTTTGGAATCAATTCATATAAATTTGGTATGTACGTCTAAGCATGCATGGAAATAGAAATTCATCATGTATGAATAATATAAAAAAAATATGAATACAAAATATAGTTGACATCCCTGTAAGCTGCACCAACCACCTGCAAGTGAATTTAGTTTGTTTTCTTTGTATATTTTAGTTAAGTTTTAGACCAAGTATTGAAGAACTGAAAGAAAGAAAAATTATACAGTTTAGTGATTATGTTGAATGGACAGAAGCTCACGAGTATGACAGACGAGCAGATAAACCTTGGACTCGGTTAACACCTAAAGATAAGGTCAGTCTATTTATAGTTTTAAGATCATAAAACTTAAACCTGATTTAAAAATGCAGCATGAAATGGAGAAAAAAAAATATGATGAATATTAGAAAGAAAGGATATGGAGTACCCATCCATAACACAAAACCAGTACATGCACAGCAAAAAACACAAAAAGCAAAGGAACAGTGCTTGTATTTCTATTATAAGCATGTGTTTATGCCCCACAAGTTTAAGTGGGGGGGCATATTGTTTTACCCCTGTCCGTCCCATTATGGGTGTATAGCTATTCCAGATAACTCCTCCTACAGTTTGAATGCTAGGAAGTTTTCACTTTGCTGGCTACTGGTACATATATTGAATGTGTGCATGTGGTCAGGGTTTTGATTTTATTAATATTTGCTCTTTTGGGAGATATTTGAACTTTGTCATTTTTGGAGTATATACTTGCATAAGAGGTGCATAGCGTTTCCGGATAACTCCTCCTACAGTCAACCATAGACCTATGTGCTCCCATGCTAAACTTTGTGTATTTTAAAATAACACTTTGCATCTGCGGGGGCATCATTTGTGTCTCCCAGACACAATAATATCTCAAAGAAAGTCCTACATTAACTTTGTTATAATACAGTTACTTCAGAGTGGATTGCGGGGCATCACTTTGTCTAGATATAAAATAGCGAACAGCTACCAGTATCTTACTTTCTTGTTAGGCTTTCTCACAAGAAATATTACATTTAATTTTACATACAATCAGAGAAAATCTAGTAATAGGATAAAGAAGTGTACATTGGTTAAGAGTTAACTTAAGTATTCTTTTTCCTTGCTCTACAGGCTGCCATTAGTTAAGGGTTAACTTAAGTATTCTTTTTCCTTGCTCTACAGGCTGCCATTATTTAAGAGTTAACTTAAGTACTCTTTTTCCTTGCTCTACAGGCTGCCATTAGTTAAGAGTTAACTTAAGTATTCTGTTTCCTTGCTCTACAGGCTGCCATTAGTTAAGGGTTAACTTAAGTATTCTTTTTCCTTGCTCTACAGGCTGCCATTAGTTAAGAGTTAACTTAAGTATTCTGTTTCCTTGCTCTACAGGCTGCCATTAGTTAAGGGTTAACTTAAGTATTCTTTTTCCTTGCTCTACAGGCTGCCATTAGTTAAGAGTTAACTTAAGTATTCTTTTTCCTTGCTCTACAGGCTGCCATTAGTTAAGAGTTAACTTAAGTATTCTTTTTCCTTGCTCTACAGGCTGCCATTAGTTAAGAGTTAACTTAAGTATTCTTTTTCCTTGCTCTACAGGCTGCCATTAGTTAAGGGTTAACTTAAGTATTCTTTTTCCTTGCTCTACAGGCTGCCATTAGTTAAGGGTTAACTTAAGTATTCTTTTTCCTTGCTCTACAGGCTGCCATTAGTTAAGGGTTAACTTAAGTATTCTTTTTCCTTGCTCTACAGGCTGCCATTGGTTAAGAGTTAACTTAAGTATTCTTTTTCCTTGCTCTACAGGCTGCCATTAGTTAAGAGTTAACTTAAGTATTCTTTTTCCTTGCTCTACAGGCTGCCATTAGTTAAGGGTTAACTTAAGTATTCTTTTTCCTTGCTCTACAGGCTGCCATTAGTTAAGGGTTAACTTAAGTATTCTTTTTCCTTGCTCTACAGGCTGCCATTAGTTAAGGGTTAACTTAAGTATTCTTTTTCCTTGCTCTACAGGCTGCCATTAGTTAAGGGTTAACTTAAGTATTCTTTGTCCTTGCTCTACAGGCTGCCATTAGTTAAGAGTTAACTTAAGTATTCTTTTTCCTTGCTCTACAGGCTGCCATTAGTTAAGAGTTAACTTAAGTACTCTTTTTCCTTGCTCTACAGGCTGCCATTAGTTAAGAGTTAACTTAAGTACTCTTTTTCCTTGCTCTACAGGCTGCCATTAGTTAAGAGTTAACTTAAGTACTCTTTTTCCTTGCTCTACAGGCTGCCATTAGTTAAGAGTTAACTTAAGTACTCTGTTTCCTTGCTCTACAGGCTGCCATTAGTTAAGGGTTAACTTAAGTACTCTTTTTCCTTGCTCTACAGGCTGCCATTAGTTAAGAGTTAACTTAAGTATTCTTTTTCCTTGCTCTACAGGCTGCCATTAGTTAAGAGTTAACTTAAGTATTCTGTTTCCTTGCTCTACAGGCTGCCATTAGTTAAGAGTTAACTTAAGTATTCTTTGTTTCCTTGCTCTACAGGCTGCCATTAGTTAAGGGTTAACTTAAGTACTCTTTTTCCTTGCTCTACAGGCTGCCATTAGTTAAGAGTTAACTTAAGTATTCTGTTTCCTTGCTCTACAGGCTGCCATTAGTTAAGAGTTAACTTAAGTATTCTTTTTCCTTGCTCTACAGGCTGCCATTAGTTAAGAGTTAACTTAAGTATTCTTTTTCCTTGCTCTACAGGCTGCCATTAGTTAAGAGTTAACTTAAGTATTCTTTTTCCTTGCTCTACAGGCTGCCATTAGTTAAGAGTTAACTTAAGTATTCTTTTTCCTTGCTCTACAGGCTGCCATTAGTTAAGGGTTAACTTAAGTATTCTTTTTCCTTGCTCTACAGGCTGCCATTAGTTAAGAGTTAACTTAAGTATTCTTTTTCCTTGCTCTACAGGCTGCCATTAGTTAAGAGTTAACTTAAGTATTCTTTGTTTCCTTGCTCTACAGGCTGCCATTAGTTAAGGGTTAACTTAAGTACTCTTTTTCCTTGCTCTACAGGCTGCCATTAGTTAAGAGTTAACTTAAGTATTCTTTTTCCTTGCTCTACAGGCTGCCATTAGTTAAGAGTTAACTTAAGTATTCTTTTTCCTTGCTCTACAGGCTGCCATTAGTTAAGAGTTAACTTAAGTATTCTTTTTCCTTGCTCTACAGGCTGCCATTAGTTAAGAGTTAACTTAAGTATTCTTTTTCCTTGCTCTACAGGCTGCCATTAGTTAAGGGTTAACTTAAGTATTCTTTTTCCTTGCTCTACAGGCTGCCATTAGTTAAGAGTTAACTTAAGTATTCTTTTTCCTTGCTCTACAGGCTGCCATTAGTTAAGAGTTAACTTAAGTATTCTTTTTCCTTGCTCTACAGGCTGCCATTAGTTAAGAGTTAACTTAAGTATTCTTTTTCCTTGCTCTACAGGCTGCCATTAGTTAAGAGTTAACTTAAGTATTCTTTTTCCTTGCTCTACAGGCTGCCATTAGTTAAGGGTTAACTTAAGTATTCTTTTTCCTTGCTCTACAGGCTGCCATTAGTTAAGAGTTAACTTAAGTATTCTTTTTCCTTGCTCTACAGGCTGCCATTAGAAAAGAATTAAATGAATTTAAAAGCAAAGAAATGGATGTTCATGAAGAAAGTAAACATCTAACTAGGTAAGTTTACAAACTTCTTTCTGGCTACTTGCATTTTTTATATTAAAATCAAATTCATTCCATTATACAATGAAGTTCAAAGACAAATTTTGAAGAATGTCTTTGAGAATTAATGGCTAACCATGTCTGAGATATAGAAGAGTGTAACATGTGACACCAAGTTAAACATACAAGTGGCATTTTCTTGGAATTTATCTAAATTTAAATCTGTCAGGTTTCATATAGAGTATATAGGCATTGTTGGAAATATAAAATGCATCTATCATGCTTTAGATATAAAAGAATATTAAGCCTTCTTTATTAATCATTACTTTTATAAAGCAAGAAAACATTGAATACTTAAATAACATTTTTATTATGATTTTTTTGTAGATTTCATAGACCTTGACATATATAGACATTTTAGTGATAACCAAATCATATAGCAAAAAGTGCTGGAGCTGGCCATAAAGTAACAAACCAGGATTGGTTATACAAGATGGTTCTACTGGTTGACAATGTATGTGGAACATCAGGGACTGTATCACGCCAGGACTCTTGTTTTTTATTGTCAAATTGTTTCAGTTATATGGTACATCAGGGATAAATAGCTTTGCTATAACTTGAATGGGGAATATAAGATTGCATTATTTATATTTTAAATTAAATTGTTATTATTGTATTTAGAATTTTGTTGTTTTATCAATGAATGTTTTCAATTCTGATACAATTAAAGTAGTGTCTTTTCTTCATGGAAATTAATTTATACCTGTACTACTTTTTTTTTGAGAATTGAAGTGAAATCAAAACAGAATTTTGTTGTGAAATAGACTTAAACAAGAGAGAAATAGAGCACACACTCACAGATGCAAACTAAATGTTTAAGGATTTGATATTTGAGAGAAATTAGTGTGAAGAAAGTTTCTAGCTTTGTAGTACAAAAAGATAAAAATAAGATAATTTTTCATGTAAAAAGACACATTTTACTTAAGTATTATAATGTGAAAAGATATAAAGCTATTTAAGATCTGGTTCTGTGTGAAAACAACTGGCATGTTGATTACAAACTATAATAAGAGAGATCCCCATATTTAGCATGACTTGATCAATTTTAAACATATAAGATTGAGATGCAATATAATTGTACCCATGTTAGGTGTATTATATTATACATTTTACATATATGAGATGTAAAATTTTGTTGCATTTTTTGATACATGATCTTGTTAACATTGTATAAATATCATTGGATGATCCTATACATTGTAAATATTTGTCCTCAGTGTCATCCTTAAACAAATTAATTTATCTATTTTTTACTTAATGCACCCATTATATGTTAAATTTTTAAATGATGTGCCACATAAGAAAATGATGATAATAATGATGATATTCAGATAATAATTAATTATAACAAATGTCGATTAAAGTTAAACGAAATTGAACTTTGAAGAGTCAAATAAATTTGTTGCTTTTGTTCATGATTCAAATGACACTTTAAATGAAAACATTGTTTAACTTTAATTGACGTTTGTGCAATCCAGTTTTGATATTTGACTTGCTTGCATTTAACTGTTTAAGTGTTGTCGTCTCAAAACTTAAAACTTTTGATAATAAAATTCCAGGAACACACTTTCTTAGTCCAAGTTTTATAAATCTTTCATTTGAACAGGAATAATACCTATATTTTTACTTGATTGATTTTAATAATTGCAACCATAATATAATTTAAAAGCTCCTAATGCAATCTCAAACAATAGTAATTTCATAAAATTCTGCAGAGTTAAAACCATGATGGCAACTTGAAAATCTGATAGTAATATTGTATATGAATGAAATGTTCCATGAGTCAATTCCAACAAAATATAAAAAATATAAAAGTGAAGTGGTTATAATGACCTCTTCAATGAGATTGAATTCAAATATTAAGTAATATTTCTTGTGTGGCCTAATTTTGACAGCATGCTGTTTAAATGCTTATTACTTATGTGAAAACATGATAGTAATGTTTATATTTTTATGATCTTATCAAGCTTTAAATGGATAGATGAAATAAAGATAACTTCACTGATGTTTACCGCTGAGTTTATACAGGAGAACTTGTTTGGGCAATCTCTAAGTAATACACATGGGAGTTGTTTTCTTTGTTTCTTTATCTTATATCAGGCGAAAGACAACTGTGCATACGGCCTGCATGGGCGGGTGGTGTTGGCTCACTATTCCAAATAAAACCTTCAAATGGTCAAACAAACAATAGATATATATATATGTTAAGAAATATGTACACATTAACACAGTTATATACCTTGACGGCAATTAAAAAACTATTTAGAAAATGCTTTAAAAACAATTATAAATACAAGATGAAATCAAACCTCTTGCAAGCAATCTGTCAAGATATGAAACTGGTGCAAATAAACTTTCTGTTTGCCCACAATCTACACATACTATGTTTTGTGTTTAATTTTAAAATTGCCTTATATATATACAAGAAAAGGTTATAGTTTAGTGAAATTTGATTTAGTTTAGTTTGCAAAGATGTCCTCTTCATTGCCCATGGTTAACCAGTAATGTGTTACCATACTCTTCAACATAAATGTTCGGTACCAGAGTTTATATTTATATGTTATACAGCTAAACATTATTTGCACACTTTTATATTATGTTCAAAATATGAAGACACAGTATCCAAGGTCATTGCTTTAAAAGTTCTCTCAAATGAAAAATACAACATAATAGGATCTTGTGATTGCCTTGTTCAGTAATATGAATCAATCGGCCAGCTGTAACTTAATTTCAGGTAAATAAATAAGTATTTATGACAACCAGGAAACAAAACAATGAATCTTTCACAGTGGATTCATTTATTTTTGTTGATACCAATTTTTGTGGAAATTTTTTTCCCAAAGTCTGTGTACAAGCTTAAAGAAACTATTTTAACCTTTGAACATGTAAATTCATACCCCACAAATAATAATGATCACACAGTAGACACTGAGTAGTTGAACAGTACTCAACAAACTGCTTATGTTAATCTTTCAAATTATGCTAGATATAATCTTATTATATGTATGAAATACAAAAAAATATTCTAGCTATATATTGTTCGTGATATTTCCTACCGACTATGACAGAGTGTTTTGACACTTATCATCTCAATCATTGTACTGATATTTTGCTTTAAAAGATGAGATATTATAGTAACCATAACTTAAACACTAAAAATACATTACTTCTTAGAATACCATTGAAATGTAGATGCTATCTAAGTGACATCACAAAAATCTCAGTTACCATGTTTTGCTCAAAAACAATTCATTCGTGAATATATTTTTTTTAAATACAGTACAAGTAATTGAGATAATGAAAATGATGTCTTTATTCATATACTATATTTTGGTAATTCCTAGAAAGACCTTAGTTTGAATTAGGCTGTTGATCATATTGGACAATCCATATGTTACTTGGAAGATATAAAAATGAAGTAATTAAACAAATTGTAAACTTTTTTTAAACATACAAACTGGATTGCCTAATCAGAAAATTATTTAAATATATATTTACTGTTTTCAGATAGATGAATGTCTAATGAGGGGCTAAATATTTTGATAAGTTTATATATCTTCATAAATTTCAGAAAAAAGGAGTCTTTATGATAGCTTTACCTTTTAATTTAGTGCTCAACAATTGGTATCTTTCGCCTCTCTTTTAGGTCATAATTCTATTTAAAAAGTCATCTTTGTGTCTAATGTTCAATATTTTTTTCAATGTTATATTTTCTATGAAAAATAGAGTTTTCATTTTCATACAAACAGAGAAGAGTAGAAAAAAAATCACTTTTGCAGTAGTTCATTAGTTAATACAGTTTACACAGTACTTAATAAGAAAGTACATCTGCTTTAAGTCACATGATGCTCATGTGACTTTAAAGTGAAATGTGATTTGTCTGTAGTAGTTTTCAGTATTGATTATTTTTTCTGTGTACAATTTGATAAATGTTTGTATTAATTTTGTGCAATTTTGTCATAAAATGATGCTTTTATGTAAACTTAATAGTAGTTGCTGCATTTTAAAATGAAAAGAAATACAGAAGACTGGACAATTTAAACATTAGTTATCAGTAAATGTAAAACAAATATTACAGAAAATTTCCCATTTAAGAAAATATAACGTTTTTCTCTATCAACATTTTACCATTCATGCAATGCCAGTTATGCCAAAAAAACAAAAACAAAAAGTGCCAGATAATTCAAGTTTCATGGGGCCACTTTCATCTAGTGTCAGGTTAATAATCATCCATGCATGAACATGATAATTGAAGAACTGACACTTGTTTCATTAATACATTTATTTTTACTCATGATAATAACTTTATATAAATAAACACAAGTTTGAAAGATATCTTTTGATTCAAGTCCATGAAGATCATGAAATTTTTCATTAGTGAAAGAATTTTTGTCTTTTCCTAAGCGAAGCCTAACAGAATGATGACAAGAGTGAAATTTCTTTCACGAGTTGAAGAGTTCTCTTCTTCTTATTTTTGACAAATGTTTTTATCATTTATTAAAATAAAAACTGATATTCCATTTTCAAACAATTAACAGACTTTTATAGAAAAATTTCCTTGAGCAGTGGATTGGGGGTTTTCTTTATATTAAAGCTAAAAATAAATTCAGTAGAAGGTTTATTACCTATAGAACTACAGCAACACAAACACTTAAAATTCACATTTCATTTCTAACTATAGTGATTTTTTTGCCTTATTGCTACTTATTATTCAGAAAGTTTTCTTTATCATTTTCATATTAATATGACAATTGTTATTTACAGGGGTAATTAATTAAAAGTGCTTCATATTTCATCTTAGAATGCAGTAATTATACATGTAACAGATTTTTAATTTTGATTCTTCATATGTCCATTGTAAGTCTTGTACTGTTTCAACAGAGACTTTGTTGAAATAAATTATCTTATTTACACATAGTATAGTTATTTGATGCCACAAGTTATAGTTAGAATCTAAAGAGATTCTTTATTTTTTAGAAGGCATTTAAATGATCAGTGTTCATCATGCATCTTATCAGTTAAGTAAGTACATGGGCATATCCATGACTTTCAAAAAGGAAGTTCCAGAGGGACTGACCAAAAAATACGAGTGGAGAGAAGTGAAAAAAATTTTAAAAAATGGCCATAAGCCTTCCCCAACCTTGAAGTATTATAATACCACACATAATCCATACATTGCTTAATTATGCTTCAGAAGTTACCCTTTAACACTTTTCACATCTCTCCTTATAGATGTTACTTCTATCTCGTAATTGAAGACTTTCAGTGCATACATTATTTTGTGCATTTTATTACAGCTGATCAACAGACCAAAATACAAAATCAATTAATCAAAGTACAGGAAATGCTGGAAACACATTGTTTTGCTTTCTCAGAAATAAAATAAAGGAAAACAAGAATATGTGTCCATAGGACACCATGGACTGCTTGCACTATCACATTTTCATATTCTGTGGGAACATGACATCTGGTTTCAAACCCTAATTTGAACATGAGCAACACAACAGGTGCCACATGTGGAGCAGGATCTGCTTACCCTTCCAGAGCACCTTAGATCACCACCAGTTTTTGGTGGGGTTTGTGTTGCTCAATCTTTAGTTTTCTATGTTGTGTTTTGTGTACTTTTGTTTGTCTGTTGGTCTTTTTCTTTTTTAGCCATGGCGTTGTCAGTTTATTTTCGACTTATGAGTTTGAATGTCCCTCTGGTATCTTTCGCCTCTCTTTGACATATAGTTTAAAAAGTTCACATCATAATGAACATGCTTATAAAGTTTCAATTTGAGGATAATAAAACTTTATGTTAAAACCTAATACTGGATGTATTGATGGGAAAACATAATGACACACCCTTCTATCGTAGGTTGGGTATAAAAAAAAGTGTCAACAATTCTACTTGTTAAGTTGAATTGGAGGCCAAAACATTAACCTTATATTGGATGTACTGATGCACAGATGGGAAAACATAATGCCACACCCTTCTATTGTAGGTTGGGTATAAAAAAAGTGTCAACAATTCTACGTATTAAGTTGAATTGGACAACCAAAACTTTCCTGCAGTTTGTTACCAACTTTCCTTATTTGGTGGAATCGTATTTTAAATTGTAATAAATTGCTTGCCGAGGGCAGCTGATACGACTGCAGAGGTTCAACCCTAAACAGTTGGGGCAAAAATGGACACAATATTTGCGCTTGATACAGGTCTGAATTTGGATTGTAATTAAATATTTGACGATTAATAGGTTTCTGACACAGAATAACTGTAGTCAAAGAACTTAGAATTGGTTATATGATTTGAATTCATATATTTATATCAATTATTTGCTTTTGTGCAATACACTATGCTGTTGCGAATTGACCCCCCCCCCCCCCCCCAAAAAAAAAAATGTTACCCCCTTTTTTTTTTGCTTTTGTGCAATACACTATGCTGTTGCTTATTGACCCCCCCCCCTCTTTTTCATTAAAAAAAAAATCTTTCCCTCAAGATATGGTCATCTCAATTCAAATTTCCAATGGAGTTTGCAACCATAATTACCCATTTAAATACATATAAAAGTCTTAAAATAGAAAATGACATACATAATCATGGCTAAAATTAATATTCCTTAATCAGCATTTTTAATAGTAACTTCTAAAAATAAATTGACAGCTTATCACTTTGAGACGATACAACATTTCTTTATACATAATTTAAAAGCAGTGTAAGAGAGGTAATCCAAACATATCATTGTACTTTTAAGTAATTGTCCATTAACCAGGAAACCCTTGTTATTCCCTCTTTTTTGCCCCTTATTCCTAAATGATTTGAGCCATAACACCCAAAGCCAATCATAACCATCCCTTTGTGGTATGGAAACTTGTGGTATAATTTCAGAGAGATCCATACACCTTTCCACAAGTTATTGTCTGGAAACTAGAAAAATGCTTATTTGGGCTCCTTTTTGGCCCCTTATTCCTAAACTGTTAGACCATAACCCCCAAAATCAATCTCAACCTTCCTTTTGTGGTTATAAACCTTGTGTTTAAATTTCATAGATTTCCATATACATATACTAAAGTTATTGTCCGGAAACCAAATGGTTTCGGACGAGACGACGACGACATGATACCAATATACGACCGCAAAATTTTTTGCGGTCGTATAAAAAGAGTATTCACAACAAGGTATTATATCCAGGTCATTTGTAGCCTATGTTAATTGTTTTGAAGTCTGTATGTGGTTTTCTTTCATAGAAATGATGGATGGTTGTTTAACATCAATTTGACAATATTTCAACCACATTCAGAAAGAGAGAACTTACTGATATAAATTCCACAATACTGAAATGCTGAGTCTTAACTTTTAGCATAGACTGGCTCAAAAAAAAATTAAAATCTTGTTGATATTACATTCTTTTCAAGGCATTTTCATTGCTCATCTGTTAATGTCTAATATATTTTCTGGGACAAATTAAGATAAAAAACGATCAACAATCATGGCTACTATTACAAAATTACTAAAATGTCTCACCTGCTTTACTGACCACTGATTTTATGATAGTCCTAAATATAAAGTTTTACTACAAGTATCACATAAACTTAACATGATCAAAGAAAATGAGGTCATACAATAACTCCATACACCAAATATAGTTGACCTATTGCTTATAAATACAAGAAACAGACCAAACCATGAAAACTTTATATTGACCAATGAACCATGAAAATGAGGTCAAGGTCAAATGAACCCTGCCAGACCGACATGTACACCTTTCAATCATTCCATGCTTAAAATATAGTTGACCTATTGCATAGCATCTAAGAAACAAACTTAACCAGGAAAACTAAACATTGACCAATGAACCATGAAAGTGAGGTCAAGGTCAGATGATAACTGCCAGACAGACATATACACCTTACAATCATTCCATACACCAAATATAGTTGACCTACTACTTAAAGTTGAAAAAAAACAGACCAAAACAAAAACTTAACATTGAGCAATGAACTGTAAAAATGAGGTCAAGGTCAAATAAAATCTGCTAGACTGACACGTACACCGTAAAATATTTCTTTACACCAAATATAGTTCACCTATTACATACAGTATTAGAAAAGCAGACGAAAACACAAAATCTTTAACCACTGAACCATGAAAATGAGGTCAAGGTCAGATGACACCTGCCAGTTGGACATGTACACCTTACATTTGACTTTTCTACACTTTACACAAGTATTCCCCATTCCAAACTAAAAGACAAATTGAAAGAGTTGGTATTACTTTGTTTCATTAAAAAGAATGGCGAACGTAGATACAAGTATCTTGTCTTGGGGAGGGATAAATCCTACTTTGTAAAGAATCACTCTGATTCAAACAAAAAATTCTCTGAAACTGACATTATCAAGATGCTTCATTTCTTGATTGACAACATATTTGTTACGTTTGGAGGACGTGTTTTTCAACAGACTGTCGGAATTCCAATGGGAACCAATTGTGCCCCTCTTCTTGCCGACTTGTTTCTTTATTATTATGAGGCTGACTTCATACAGGAACTTCTTAGGAAGAAAGATAAGAAGTTAGCAATATCCTTTAACTCTACGTTCCACTGTATAGATGATGTTCTTTCACTAAATAATACAAAATTTGGTGACTATGTTGAACGAATCTATCCCATCGAACTAGAGATAAAGGATACTACAGATACAGTTAAGTCTGCCTCATATCTTGACTTACATCTAGAAATTGACAATGAGGGTCGGTTGAAAACAAAACTTTACGACAAAAGAGATGATTTCAGCTTTCCAATTGTGAACTTTCCATTTCTATGTAGCAACATTCCAGCAGCGCCTGCATACGGAGTATATATCTCCCAATTGATATGATATTCCCGGGCTTGTGTTTCCTATCATGATTTCCTTGATAGAGGATTGCTGCTCACAAGGAAGCTATTAAGCCAAGAGTTCCAAATGGTGAAGTTGAAATCATCCCTTCGTAAATTTTACGGACGCCATCACGAGTTGGTTGACCGTTATGGAATAACCGTTTCACAGATGATATTGGATATGTTCCTTATGTCGTAACTACAATACCCTTCCCTTTTCACGAATGTGACTTACCGAATTAGACTATTTACCAGATTTGTAATAACATAAGCAACACGACGGGTGCCACATGTGGAGCAGGATCTGCTTACCCTTCCGGAGCACCTGAGATCACCCCCAGTTTTTGGTGGGGTTCTTGTTGCTTAGTCTTTAGTTTTCTATGTTGTGTCATCTGTACTATTATTTGTCTGTTTGTCTTTTTATTTTTGGCCATGGCGTTGTCAGTTTGTTTTCGATCTATGAGTTTGACTGTCCCTCTGGTATCTTTCGTCCCTCTTTTACAATCATTCCATACACCAAATATATTAGACCTATTGCTTATAGTACTGAGATATAGACTTTACCACAAAAACTAACTTTGTTCACTGATCCATGAAATGAGGTCGAGGTCAAGTGAAACCGTTGAATCACTATCCCTATGTCTCGCTTTCTGCGACTGAAGTCGCAGGCTCGACAAAAAATAGTTCTAGTGAGATAACATTTGATTTGTCATTCCAGTGTATAGTTTAACCGTCAGATTCAGGAAATTTTGTACATGTCAAGCACTGTTGTATGTGCCTGTCCCAAGTCAGGAGCCTGTAATTCAGTGGTTATTGTTTGGTGCTGTATATCAATAATATATATGACATTAACACACCTTGGAGTGTCAGGATTGTCCAAAGAACAACCTCCCTACAGTCAGTCTTCTATTTGATCAATCCTTATGTAAATATAATGATGTTTTACGTCTTAAATTATTCAGTTTCAAGTTGATCTGATTACAACTTCATTGTAAACTACCATAAACAAAAACTTTTGAGAATGTACTGGTTTCACACTATCACATTACCATGTTGATGAACCATGAAGTTTGGGTTATAACCATAATTAGAAAGTTCACATCATAATAAACATGTGTAAAAAGTTTCAAATTGATGTTACTGATGGTTGGCAGGCTTGATCACCAGACAAATTACATAAACTAGTTACACCAAGGATGATTGAGGTTAACTTTGCTTTTATTTGGATGTGTAGTTTCCAAGGAGAAATGTAAAAAGAAGAAAAGCACATGCCAAGTGATAGCAATAACTCAAACTGGCTGTTTTGGCCAGGTGAGCTAACAACAATGGTTCCATTACACTTACATAGTATTGATACGTTTGATTTTTAAAGTGAAGTCAAATGTTATACATCCTAAATGATTATCTTTTTATTGAGCTTTATTTGAGGCAAATAACATAATGAATAAAATGCTCCACTGGGGCGCAGCTTGATACGACCACAGAGGTCGAACCCTGAACAGTTGGGGCAAGTATGGACACAACATTCAAGCTTGATACAGCTCTAAATTTGGATTGTGATTAAATATTTGACACAGCATAGGTTTCTGACACAGAATGAATGTGGTCTAAGAACTTTAAAAATTTTAATTTACCTATTCAAACCATATCATTATTATTTGCTTTTATATATAAATCAGAAATAACCAATTTACTGTGAATTCATTAATATTCGTTGGATACCAATTTCGTGGATTTCGTGGGTACAGGGGAACCACGAATTCAAATGCTCAATGAATTTCAAATTTCCTAAAGGAATGTATGCAGACTTTGCCAAAGCCACGAAATTTAATATCCACGAAAATGCAAGTTTTTCTCAATCCACGAAAATTGGTACCCACGAAAATAAATGAATCCACAGTAAATGGAAAATTTTAAAAGAAAAAAAAGGAAAAAAAGAAAAAAAAAATCCCCCCCCCCCCAAATTTTTTGAACCCCCTTATGATTCATCACCCTAAAACTCAATAACAGCCTTCCCTTTGTGGTATGGTACCTTGCAGTACAATTTCAGAGAGATCCATACACTTGAACAAAAGTTATTGTCTGAAAACTAGAAAAATGCTTGTTTTTAGGCCCCTTTTTTGCCCAAAATTCCTAAACGTTTAGGGCAATTACCCCCAAACAAAAACCCAGCTTTCCCTTTGTGATATGAAACCTTGTAGTACAATTTCATAAAGATCCATACACTTACACACAAGTTATTGTCCTGAAACTAGAAAAATGCTTGTTTTTTGCCCCTTTTTGGACCCTAATTCCTAAAATTTTAAGGCAATTACCCCCAAAATCAATCCCAGGCTTTCCTTAGTGGTATGGTACCTTGCAGTACAATTTCAGAGAGATCCATACACTTGAACACAAGTTATTGTCTGGAAACTAGAAAAATGCTTATTTTTGGCCCCTTTTTCCTAAACGTTTTGGGCAATTACCCCCAAACTCAATTCCAGCTTTCCCTTTGTGATATGGAACCTTGTAGTACAATTTCAGAAAGATCCATACACTTACACACAAGTTATTGTCATGAAACTAGAAAAATGCTTGCTTTTTGCCCCTTTTTTGGCCCCTAATTCCTAAAATTTTGAGGCAATTACCCCCAAAATCAATCCCAGCATTCCCTTTGTGATATGGAACCTTGTGGTACAATGTCAGAGAGATCCATACACTAACACACAAGTTATGTCTGGAAGTTACAAAAATGCTTATTTTTGTCCCCTTTTTGGCCCCTAATTCCTTAACTGTTGGTACCATAACCTCCAAAATCAATCCCAACCTTCCTTTTGTGGTATTGAACCTTATGGTAAAATTTCATAGAGATCCATTCACTTAAACTAAAGTTAGAGTGCGAAAACCAATGTGTCTTCGGACGACGACTACGACGCCAATGTCATACCAATATACGACCACAAAATTTTTTGGCGGTCGTATAAAAACAAGAAGAAAGCTGGCATGGATTAAGTTTCACATGTTTAATGATTTTAATGCATGATAATCACACACACAACACAATGGTACCAATATATACAAAAGTATATATAAACAATTCACCTCTTCTAGGTAATAAATATACAATCGCAAATTTACAACTGCTTCTTTTCAATACTGTCATAATTCATTACTCCTAATAAAATTAATAAATATTTTAAATTAAAGAGGGAAAAAACAACATAAACATCTTGTCATGTTCAAGAAAAGAAAGTAAACATACTATTGTTTCTGCTTAACGGTACAGTTCATTTTTTATATGAAGCAAATTTTGTGAATACATATTGTAGTTAGATAAATCACAGTTCAAATTTAGGCCTAAAAGCTTTTCCAACAACTTTTATCCTATCTAGGCCTCCACTTTTAACCGGACTGAAAACATTTTTTATGAATATTTTTTTCCTGAAACATTCCAAATTTTATTTTTGTGAGGCTGTTAAGACTACAAGTGTCTGGCACTGGTGACACAAGTGTACAATGAAATCTATGTCATCAAAGGTTAATTTTTAAGTCTCAAACTATGTTCAAGTTAGAGACATAAAAAGGACTGTTTGATCTTACAATTGGTCTCATACAAAATTAAATTACAAAAAGATCTTGCACTTTAAACCCTTAGAACTATTCACAGGGTATAAATAACATGTCTGTCCCTGTGGAAATTAAAAACTAATTGCCATCCATTTATTTCATATTTATATTACTGGAATGGTTATACCATATCTATGTCAGTATTTCAAATAATATCATTATATCCATAAACCCCAAAAACAGTGCAATTTTATCTAGGTGAAAATATTGTTTATACTTAAGAGTGAACCAAGGCCATGAAATGTTTTAAATAATGAAAATAATCTGTAGAAAAAAATGCTGCAGACAAAAACTCTATGATGTCAGGTGATACAGCTAATTTTCACTGATTTATTACAAGAATACAAACATACAAAATATGAAATTCATGTTACAAATCATAATATGAACTGTATACCAAAAGGTATACAATAATGTTAAGAAAATGTTAGATTGTTGATAGTCATGAAATGCATATTAAAAAAGATAATATACATTTAAAATTTACTCATATGATACCTATTCTAAAATAGGAATCATGTTAAAAACTTAAGAGCCATGAAGTATAAAATCATTTTAAGGTTACTGCAATTTGTAAACATGTGTTGTAATTTAAAAGCAGCACAGACAGGGTTAAAAGAAAAATGTAACAAACTGTAAAATAAGCAAAGGGAACAACATGTGGAGCCAAAAAGAATGCTTACATACTTTAATTTTCAATGAACTAGTTATCTATATAATGAAATTTATCTATCAACCAATAAATACATTTTTGAATTTTTACATGTTAAAATGGTTGCTGCCTTTATGAAAATATATACTTGTTCTATATATATATATTTATAACAGTGTTCCTGAGGAGTGTATCTACAACAGCTATGAAATAAATTTACAGGAATTTTCTGCACACTATCTCAATCCATTTGTCATATAAATGACAGTTCTAAGTGATATTTACAAACATAAATATTAAGTAGAGGTTATAGAAATAAACAACAGATATCAACTTCAATAAAAAGCATAATAAAGCTTTCATAAAAAGCAAAAGGCATGTAACACTAAGGATAAAATGTTGTTTACATGCGAAATAATACAAACAATTTGTCAACATTTTTGAAATTTTGTTTATTTTGCATGTGTGTATACTATTGATAGTTTTCATAATTTGACTTTGATCCAGTTTTTATACAACTTCCTGTGTTTTTTTACTAGTACCTAATTATGGCAAATTGTGAACCTGCTGTAAAGAAAAACTGCATCTTTTACATACAAATATCTTGTAGGCCGTTTGAATAAAGTAAACTCTGTAAGAAAGCTTCTTCTATAAACACTTTTCAAAGAAACAGTTATAATTGAATTTTCAAATGCATCATCACCAAAATATTTATTTACAGTTATGCTCTCTATTAAACAGGGACTAACTTTGCCATAAAGAGACCAGTTCAAATAATATTGTTTTAGAATCCTTCACAGTTTATGTAATTAATCAAACAAAGATGAATCAAAGATTTTTTCCACAAGACAAAAGTTAATAAGACTTTTTTTCTTAGTAAAATAAATAATCATCACAGTGGTTAGCTTTGTAAAATCATCTTTCTTAATATGGTTCACACTGCCCTGCCCTGTCCAATAAATAATCCAAGGGTTCACATTGCTCTGCCCTGTCCAATAAATAATCCAAGGGTTCACATTGCCCAGTCCAATAAATAATCAAGAAAAAAAGAAAAAAGGAAAAAAAAAAAAATTGTTACTTTTTCTTGTCACTTATTGTAGAGTTATATTTAAAATGGTTGACAAGAGTTGTGATTACCCAAAGGGGAAACAGACATATTTTCACCTCTGATTTAAACCATCAACATGAACTTCATACTTCTTAATATACACAAAAATGGAATACAAATGAAAATCCAACTTTCAACACCTACAACAATTTTGCAACAAACATAATCCAAAAAAAACAACTCTAACTTATGAATTCTTGATACAACTGTCATAAAAATAATTTCTCTGTCAATTTTAATTGTGTGAAGCTGTTCACAAACAATGTCATTCTATTTGGCTGAATAAAATTTAACATCCTACCAGGGAAGACCAATGCTATTCAGAATATAAAGCATCTAGATGTGATGTCAGTATAACTAGTTCATGCAATCTAAGCTGCCATGTTATTGCACAATGTCTTCATTTGTCACCAAGTAACTTAGAATATGAGATCTTTGGTTTAACTCTCCTTCCATGCTCTGCAATTTCATGTTCAATTTCATCATCATAGAATAAATTAAATCTTCTTTCTGTTGCAGTTGACTGGAAAAAAAATGTTCATTTGATAACACAGCAAGTAAACATCTGTAATGTTTATTCTGAACAACATGTAAAATTTGGTGTCCCAAGGTTCTATACTTGGTCCTCTATTGTTTGTGCTATTTATAAACGACCTTCCCTTATGCACTGAAAATTGTGAAACAGACCTGTATGCTGATGACACCACTCTCCATAAATCAGGGATAACATTGAAAATATACATGATGATGTTCAAGAAGATTTATACAGAGTTGAAGAGTGGTGCAAATTGAATAACATGTTCATTAATACAAATAAAACAAAATAATGGTTACTGGAACAAAGCAGAAACTATCTATTCAGATTTATCAACCAAACTTACAAATAAATTCAGTAATATTACAAAATTCTTCATGTGAAAAATTACTAGGTGTTAAAATTGACACCACACTTAGCTGGAGAAATCAAATTGACCAAGTTTGTGCTAATATTTCATCCAGAATATACCATCTTTCTAGAATAAAGAAATTTTTAGATATAAGTGCTAGGAAAACATATTACAATGGGTATATTCTTTCTCTATTTGACTACTCCTGTATTATTTGGGGAGAATGTAAAAATGAAGGGATAACAAGAATATTAAAACTTCAAAAAAGGGCAGCAATATTAATTTTAGATACAGATCCTTCATCCCCTTCAACCCCTTATTTAAAGAACTTGGGTGGATGACAGTTGAAAATAGAATTTCCTAAATACCACAAATATTTACTTCTATATACATGTGTGTGTATGGAAGCACCAATATACCTAGTTCAAAAGTTTAAACTAAAATGAGATATTAATCCTTACTCTTTTAAGAGGTATTACTCAAGGTGATCTGATAGTTCCTAAGCCAAAAGCTGAGCTGTTTAAGAAATCTTTTGTTTATTCTGGATCAATTCTATGGAATGGACTACCACACAAAATGCATAAAGTCCAAAACACTTTTACTTTCAAAAAAGTACTCGACACAGTCCTGATAAGTTTCAGTTTTCTACAATGTGTTCTTTTGATTTGTATATCATTTTTTTATATTTATATAATTTTTTTTTAACTTTTTTTTACTACATGTGTTTATAATACATTGAACCACGTGACTGTAAATATCTGTTTTTGATTGTATTGTAATTTGCATGTGAGTGCCTCAGGGAAGATTAGTTTGTTGCAACTAACTGTGTTTACCCTCTTTAAATAAAGAATTTATTATTAATGTTTTATTATTATTATTATTATTATTATTCAAGTTAAAAACCCAATTGGATCTAAATTTTTTCATAGATTTCAATTTAAATAAATATAACTATATTAACAGATATTTTCAATCTATGGCAATGGGGTTCTATAACCATCTGAAATCCAAATTTTGACAAATTTGGTAAAAAACAAGCATTCTGAGAGTACATAGTCCCCTACCGGTTAAGAATTCATTGTACTGGAACAAAATGCTAACTTGATTTATACATGGTGTAAAATATATAACAAATATAAAGTCAACATCTCCAAACATGACAAAAAAAGAAGTCCAGGGACCATTACTCTGCACAATATCATCAGACCAGAACAAAATTCGAACTTGATCTGTAACTTGTCATGATAAAACTATCTACCAATAATCAAATCAATATCTTCAAGCATGACAAAAAAAAGTGTTGAAAACTGATTATTTGAGTGAATTTTCTAAGTCCAAGGACCATAACTCTGCACAAAATCATCAGACCGGAACAAAATCAAACTTGATCTGTAACTTGTCATGATAAAACTATATAAAAATTATCAAATCAATATCTTCATGCATGACGGAAAAAAGTGCAGAAAACTGATTATTTGAGTGAATTTTCTAAGTCCAGGGACCATTACTCTGCACAAAATCATCAGACCAGAACAAAATTCGAACTTGATCTGTAACTTGTCATGATGAAACTATATACCAAATATCAAATCAATATCTTCAAGCACGAAGAAAAAAAGTATGGAAAACTGATTTGCCAGACAGACAGACAGACAGACTGACAGAGTGCAAACCTAAAGTTCCCTTCAACTTCGTCGGTAGGGGACTAATAAAAAGATATACAAAGCCATGACATGCCATTTTTTATCGCTATTAGTTGATAGTTTTTCATTTGTATTTTTATTAATTTATTTCTTATTTTTTACATATTTTAAAATTTATTTCTTCATTTAATGTTTCTAGAAACTGCAACTTACCAGTCTGGATTTGACTTGTTTTGGTAGTTCCTCTGTAGGCAGCCACAGTTCATCTCGTTTATGTGGTTTTTCAGTACCATCTGCCATCTCAATCTTCAATACAAATAAAAACATTAAAATCCATAGTTCTTCAATTCCTTGGGCTCCACATACCAGAATATCTGAGCAGGATATATTAACTCATATGTTTATGTATTATCATCTCGCTGTGCTCCTTGCATCATGTCACCTACCTACCAAAAACTCATTCAGCCATGCATCTTAAATTTTTGCCACAATTCTTTTGTATTATCTACTCATATTATATACATAATCTTAATTTCTGAAATGTTTCTATGAAATCATTTAACAGACAATCTAAAACTATTGGCAAGTGAACCATCTTAGTATCAGTCTTTTTTCCCCCCTTTACATTGCTATTTCAACTCATGTCAACCATCTTTAACAGTATAGGTTATCCAGCATAATTTTAAAAAGAAAGGCCACTATATGATCATTTCAGCATTGTTTCAACCCAATAGCTTTGAATTAAAATAAAGTGCTTGTGAGAACTGAGAAGCTAAAGATTTGCATTGTCAACTTAAATCAATCAGCATAGTATTCAGCATAGAAACATATTTAGGCCATATTGTGAATTGAGTTATTTCCCTTTGTCAATAAAATTGTTGGTAAAAATACACTGTGCAGTACTTTCTACTTGTGGGATTTTTTTAAACTTTATTCTTGCCCAGTAGGGCAACCAACATACACATACACATATAATTTCGTAAATTGAATATCTGGTCATCCCTTTTTTAATGTTCTATATTTTTACAATTGATTATTTAATGTAAAATAGCTGAATAATTGTAAACACGATCGCTAATTGCATGTCCTATTTTCACATAAATCATTTCCATCCTCATTGAATGCAAATGTTGCTGATGTCAAGCCATGAGGTAAGGCTTAGATCCATAACATCTTATCAATTTTTTAAGAACTACACCAGAATAGAGTTTGTACTTACTGTATACATGCAGTGATCTTTGGTTCCTCTGAATGTTGCTCCATATAAATCTCCATCTGTCCATTTTACCCAAACTTTGGCACCAATAGGTGGTGGACCATCAGAAACATTATAATTCTGAATAGAAAACACAAATTTTGCTTTAAATATTTTCATAAAAACACTTATCTTTGAGTCTGATAAGTCTATTGATGTATACAATCTAATAGAAAATGAACTTGATCTTCATTTTCTAAACATTTTAAAGGGTCTGAAACTAATGCAAAATGGCAGTCCATCCTGAACTCTTTTCTACTAAATATTCAGGAATATACAATGTGTAAAATCAATTCCCCATTTTGATTCCAGAAATCCTAAGATGGATACACGGACACTATGTCTGTTTCAATACACAATTATTCTTATTAAAATAACCTCCAACTTTAAGACTTACATCGAGATCTTCTGGATATAAATCATCACTAAATGATCCATCCTCAAAGTCCACACTATAATATGTCTGGCCTTCCACTTTAACAATATTACAAAGGTAATATCTTGTGTTCTTGTGTTTTACATAAGCTTTATCTCCCACTTTTAATTCTGTCAACTCTCTGTCTCTAGCTACCTGGAATCATATATGTTATTTTCTACATTTGTTATTAATTTTATCTATTATCAGATTTAAATAAAAGACAAACAAATAAGATTTTAACAGTCCAATTTGAATTTAAAGAAAACATTTAAATAAATAGAACTGGTAATACCAACATATGATTTAACTGTAACCTCAATGATTTCAAATCAGTTCTCTTTGACTTTTAACTGAAGTTGATAATTTTAGGACAAATACAACCAAATTATCAGAAGTAAATACAATAATTGATTACATCAGAAATGACGATAAAGTACATGACATAAGCTGGATTGATTGAATGTTGCTTGCTTCACATCCAAATGATTACATTCCGATACAAGTATGGTGTAAAACACTTCCCAGCAATGTACAGAATTAAGTATGGTGTAAAACAATTCACAGCAATGTACATTTACACAAAATTATTTTAATCATCTTAAAGGATCATTTTAGAAAAGTTATCACATTTAGGGAATGTCATTGCTTTGGAAATTCTAATTGGTCCCAACAGCTTTTAAAAGGACACTTAAGACTGAACAACGTTATTTACAGACGGAAGTTGAATTCTTTATTAATAGGTTCCATTCATTTGTTTTCATTTCTTCTTTAAAGAATTGACATCAATAAAATTGGTACTGACCTTTTCCTTTGTATTGTGTTTGTTACATGTGATATAGACTGGATAGGGCCAATCACTTGTTTCAAACATTACACCTGCAGCATAAGCACATGTCACATGGAAGGAAGACGTACATCTACCATTGGAGCACTGGATACAAGCTCCATAAGATTTATCACTGTTTTGTAAAGGTTGGCAAAACATACATTTCTGAAAAAAAAAGGTAATGATTTATTAAAGAATTTGCTTGAATGTCTTGCATTAGCAATATCTATCGACAACCTGCAACCGGTTTTTATATGAGTCTTACACCAGCTGGTTTTCACACTTTATGAAAACAGGTAATCATACTAACATCAAGAGATGGGTGAATATGTTAGACTGTATCACAAATACTAAGGTTCTACTTCCATTCAATTCTGTATTGTTTTAAACAAAAAATTACTAAACATAGCTGCAGTCAAAATAAAATGAAGCAAAACTATAAATACTTTTCTTTGTTACATTTTCCAGAATATTTTAAAACAAAACATACCAGCCTAGCCCTTTCCACTGTAATAGTATCTACATTTATAGGTTCTCTCTTGTGAATATTTACAAATTTAACTTCTGGTAGAGCTAAAGCACAAACAACATGACACCATTTACCATTTGTAGTAGGTTTTAATGCACCACCTCGTAGACAACATAAACAGCATTCCTGTAAACATTCAAATAATAGAATAATAAATGGGGAATGTGTCCATGGGACACAGACGATGCCCCCGCTTGCATATAACGTTATAAAGGGACATAACACAAGAATGGTAAAAGTGAGGCCACCCAAATTCAAACTTGATCTGTTTTTTGTGGTAATAAGCATAGTGTATAAGTTTCATAACATTTGGTTGAGGCAAATTAAAGTTAGAGAATGGAAACCAATGAACAGCTCTTAATAAAATCAAACTTAATTGGTTTAATAGCTTTTGATAAAATTTGATTTGAACTAACAAAAACAAAATAATTCAGTTAACACATGAAAGGTTTCTGTTTATCTTTAAATATATGTTTGAAAAAATGTTTTATGTTTTTCTTCTAATATACAAAAAAAACAAAATTTTTCACCTTGGAAGACTTGCATCAATTTATCATTTTTTCCTGTATTTGCCAGATTTAGTTATTCTTATGTGTGTGATCAGACAAAAGAACTGATGTATTTTGACTTACAGCTGATAACTGATTTCTAGTACATCTGGTACATGTCCAATTCTTCTTGTTCTTTGGTATATCTGCCACTCCATAACAACCTGTAATTCAAGTTTATAAAAAACATCACATAGGGCAAATCATTTTTATTTGCCTTTTTTTCCAAGGATCTGGAAACAGTCATAATTGCCAGTCATGACTCTATTAGAATATTGAAGATTGAAGTGAAATTTTTATTTTTGGTTAATTTACCAAGATCTGACATTTTGAATGCCCTTTTTGTTTAGAAATTGCATTTTTTTAACCATTAACTAATCCTACAAAGCTTTTTCGGTAATAAAACTGCCATTTGGTTTTCTATGATAATTCAGAGGACCCTCCCAGTTATTGTGCTGATGCCCCAGGGGATATATCAGACTAATGGCAGCTAAACATCTAACTTACTGGCATGTACAGTTACTTTACAGTCTTCACAAGTCAAAATTTGGCTGAGGCCTTCTTTGTCTACTGATGAATTCACAGCAAATGGTCTCTTATTGTCCTTACTACAAGCAAAACACATCTCAGGAATCATTGGTAAGGTACGGAGGTTCTTTGCAGGTTTGGTTCCATCCTTTGAAGAAGATATTCTCTGGAAATTAAAATAAAAATATATTTGTACAAGGCTTGTTGAGCATTTCTGTCCATATCTGAGGCAATGCATTGCTAATATGAGGCAGGTATTACATGTGAGAGGACGAAGTCTGTATTATTTTGGTGATACTTTTGGAAATCAGATATATACAAATTTGGGGGAAATCATACGCTTAACAAAATGGCAGCCTCCTTTAACAATGTGCAAGTGCAACTGTTATAAAAAATTATTTTTGAACAATTTTGTATTTACTAGTATGTTGATTTTTCTTTCTATTGAATTTCTTACTGTCCTCTGTTATCTTAATACCAACAAACTGAAACATATTTAAATTATCTTAATACCAACAAACTGAAACATATTTAAATTATCTTAATACCAACAAACTGAAACATATTTAAATTATCTTAACACCAACAAACTGAAACATATTTAAATTATCTTAATACCAACAAACTGAAACATATTTAAATTATCTTAATACCAACAAACTGAAACATATTTAAATTATCTTAATACCAACAAACTGAAACATATTTAAAAGAAAGAGTTTTGTGTAAATTGTAATCTTATTATTTAACAAACAATGCACAAATACAGTGAGCCTGTACTCTACAAATATAACTAATATTTTTACACATTTTTCCTTATTTTAAATGTTGTCATTTTAACAAACATATAACTTCATAAACAGTCAGAGATATAACTCTATAGGGTTATTACAGAAAATAACTTGCGTGTGTTATTACAGATACTTTCATGAGTTGTCTACTCTTTATTCCTTAAATTTTCTAAATCTGCAATAACATATGTTTGTTATTTGTAAAATAAATCAAAAATATCTTAATTTATAATGGGCTCTAGGGAACTCTTGAGACTTTGCGAAGAAACTAAATGCATAGCCTTGATAATTAATTTTCTAATTAAATTAATACATTTTTGATTAACCATGGTAAATCAATGAGACGAGGCTTTTAAGGGATAAAATTAGCTGTAATAACATAGCTAAGTTATTAAAGGAATGTAACCTATTATATGAGACACTTGGGAATTACTGGGAAGCTTGCGCAGAACCTCATTACATGCTCTGGTCATTATTTCTTACAATAAATTAAAATACATTGTAATTAAGCATGATGTATGTCTGAGAAAATGTTTTGAAGTGATATAGAGAAGCTGTGATAACACCCTTTAGTTATTACAGGCATATTTTTTCTGTAATAACATATAGGTGTACTATGCAAAATTGGCAAACTATGAACTGTTATATCTTTCTATAGTTAAGTATACATAAAGACAATAGTAATATCAATAGAACTTGTATGCATTTTAACTAAACTAGTGATGTATATTGTCCCTTTGAAACATGTAACATACATATTTTATCACAGTTCTTTGATTTTTTAGTCCACAATAACAAATGTATGTTATTTTTCTGTAATAACCCTATAGAGTTATATCCCTGACTGATAAATGTTGTTAAACTATCTCTGTAAATCTATCTCATTTATTTTCATATTTAATGAACGTTTTGCCCTTCTCTGTAGTATATTATATTGTGAAAATACTTACAGATAATGGTTTGAACAATGCACAGATACTACAATAAGGTTCCACCTTGGCTAATGTCTGATTAAATATCTGTTCTGCACCAAAGTTTAGTAGTAGATGTTGCCATAAATCTCTGATAGGTTTTGTCCACAGCTCTGTTGTAATGTTTGTAGGTATGACTACAGCTTCTATACCAATATCTGTAAAAATTCATCTAGGCTAATAATATGATGAAATTGAAAGTTATTAAAGTTCTTATTATATTTTGTTAAATCAATTCTTTTCAATTAGCTATTTCTGCCATTACTTTTTTTGTAAACACTTAGAAAGAATTTCATTAACTAAAATTATCGAGGCTTGTGTAATCAAATTTAAAATATCTTAACCTCACATATGAAAAAGATAGCAGATACGGTATAATAACCCAAAATATGTTCAGTTTTGCATGTCTGCTGTACTACAATGAACTTGTAGTTCGTTAAATTTATTTTATGAAGTAGACATTATGAAATACTATTTCCCATATAAACCCAGAATGATAAAATGAAATAAAACTATTCTAGATGTGCATATTGAGGAGTCCAATTTCAATTGAGAAATTGCATGGTTTTGTTATATATTCTACCTAATTGCCAAGTTTTTTTTCATACAAATCTAAATATTTTATTAAGAAAAGATATACCTTTTTCTGAATCGTTTCTCTTTCTCTTTTCTACTTTTGGTGTCTTTTCACCACTTTTCCTTTTTTTCCTTTTTGGTACCTCTTCAGAAGATGAATATGAAGCCTCAGACTGACTTGTAGGATTCTGATTTTCATCTAACCGATTCTTTAATGTTTCTGTTAGCATTTTCAGAGATTTCTTCTGTTCATCAGCTGTTTGCTTAGACTGTTGAGATCTTTTCATTACCTAAAATGTATTGGAAGGACTTTGTACAAATATAAAATACTTTTTAAGAGCAGGAGAAACCTTTCATATTCATATCTACAAACATAAAACTGTTAACACAGAGATATGTCTCGCCTTTTTGTTAATTTGATAATGCAAATGTTGAAATTAAAATAGCAAAACTTTAACATGCAAGTTATGCAAATATTCAGTCAATGAACCATGACTGAAGGTACATGGCTAAACAATCTCCATGGAAATGAGATGTGCCAATGCTTATATATATATACAACTGCATACCAAATACCATTGACTTATCATAAGTCGTTCCCTTTAAACAAACCTAAACACATACATTAACTTGTAAACTATGTAAAAGTTTCAAAGTCAATGAACCATGATGAGGGGGTGGGGCTATAGCTATATAATCTCTATAGAAATGACAAGTGCTAACGCTTATACAACTGCATACCAAATATCATTGGCCTATCACTAATGGTTCCCCTTAAACTGACCTAATCACAAACTAATACATGTAAACTAAGCAAAAGTTTCAAAGTCAATAGACCATGACTGAGGGGCATGGCCAAATAATCTCCATGGAAATGAGATGTGCCAATGCTAATACAACTGCATACTAAATATCATTGACCCAACACTAGTAGTTCACCATAAACTAGACCTAATCACAAACTAATACATTGTTGAAGCCGCCACCGCTGCCACCAACGCTGGAAACAGCATACCTATGTCTCGCTTTTTGACTCCGTCAAGTTGAAACAAAAATGGAAAATCCTATAAATTTTAGACTTCTTAATCTTCAAGTTTTTGTGAAATTGAAAAAGTTTATTTAAATCTGATGACACAACCAGTAAGTCTACATATATTTTGTGTTTACAGCTCTTTTCATAATGCTAGCAAGGCAAAGGTTTGTTTGTTTGGCTTGCTTGCTTTGTTTGTATCAATGTTTGCTCAAGCATTGTAATTAAGATTGACATCTGAAAAAAACATAAAAAGGAGGATTTAAACTTGTATACATTATATTTAATTTTGATTGGACATTATCAAATAATCAAATTTACCTTTACACAGATTTAACTCCGCCTACTTATATTGTTTGCAGATGTCAATCTTAATTACAATGCTTGAGCAAACATTGATACAAACAAAGCAAGCAAGTCAAACAAACCTTTGCCTTGCTAGCATTATGAAAAGAGCTGTAAATAGTTTGTCTGTATGCTCATGATGCTTTGTGTGAAGTAATCCAGCTTGCCTTTGATGACTGATTGTTGCCTTTTTATTGTCCAATGTGCTACTGAAGAGAAGGTCTCAATATTCTACATGATTAGATGTTTATTTAGACCCTCTTGGTTTTGATGCTTTATAATGTTTTGAAGTTCTGGTCTAGAGCATACCTGATGAAAATTATTCCAGAAACATGTATCATGGTATGTTTATTTATAGAGTATTTATCTTACTTCATGGGTTTTGTGAAGCAACTTTTCATAACACTATCAACCAGTTACCTCCTTTTCAGCACCTCCTTCATACTGAGCATGTTGCCCAATTTCAATTTGAAAAAAATTGATACACATTAACAACAAGAGGCTCTCAAGAGCCTGAATCGCTCACCTGTAATTTTTTGCTTCAATCTTTCATCAATGATTATTTTTGCTTTTCAATATATATTAATGAGTGGCTTAAAAATGCCATTTAAATGTTCTTTGTATCCGTCATATTTTCTTCAGAAGCAAAAAAATGCATTTTACCCCTATGTTCCATTTTAGCCATAGTGGCTATGTTTCTTGACGTACAAGGAAATAAAATACAAAATTTATACTAGATACTCTGAAACTCATTCAGCCCATGTTTGGCTGAAATTGATTCAGCAGTTTCAAAGGAGAAGATTTTCTAAAGTAAGCAAACTAGATGAACAAATTGTGAAAAATTGTCTTTAAAGGGCAATAACTCCTTAAGGGGTCAATTGACAATTTTGGTAATTTCAACTTATTATACAACGGACGACGACGACGGTCGCCAAGTGATGGCAAAAGCTCACCTTTCCTTTGGAAAGGTGAACTAAAAATGGTCTAAATCAAAGAAAAATGCTGTTTTGCAAAAGGATATGTATATGTGCTTGTTAATTTTCATATAGAGCTTATAACTAATCCTGTATGGTATTTGGAGCACAACATCATTAACATAAAATACCTTTTTTGGTGAGTCATCAGAGCTTGACACTTCACTTTGCTCTGATTTCCTTCCTTTCAATTTAGATCCACTTCCAGTAAAAGAGCTATAACTAGATGTCTGAACCATTGTTTGAAGTAATTCTCCATTAGGACCACCTTTATATAATGACTGTTTCTTTGGAGGTTTTTCCTTTTTCACCTCCTTACAACTTTCCACTTCCTTGACAACCATTAATGAATTACTAGATGGGACAATTGGTTTAACAGTTTCAGATTTACTTGATGCTTGTGAGATTGGAACAATAGGTTGAGGTACCAGTTGTAACACTTTATTAGGACTAACAATTGCCCCATAAGCTTGATCACTGTCCATTGTATCAGGCGATTTACTTGATGTTACAGAACTCTGTACATTTTGTGGTGATATAACAGAAATAGGAGTTTTATTTACACTATTTAGAATTGAAGCACTATTTACTGATTTCGCTAAACTTATGGCTTGAGATGGAGTTTTTGACACTATGGATTGAAATAATGGCGTTTTAGAATCTACCTGAAAATGTTTTGCTGGTGCTGGATGAATCTGTGTTACACCTTGTAATAAAAACTGAGTGGTTCCAAATTGTGGACTACCACCGAATTGTGGCACAGATTTGGATAAAAGAGATCCTGGTTTAACAGTTGTCTGATTTACAATGTTTTTGACGACAGCTGATGCTGGTTTGGAAGTAGAAGCTGTTTGAACAACACTAGTTGATGTTGTACTAACATTAATCACTTGTTTTCCTGACACAGCACCACCCGATGGTGTAAGGATATATGATACATTCCTTTGAGAAGGTGTAGGTATAACATTGACAACATTAACAGTCTTTGTTGGATTTGTTGTCTGAGAATTTAGACACAGATTTGGTTGTACCTGCACAACTTTACTTCCAATTACAATGGGATTTCCTGCAGATACCAATATGGTATTAGTGTTGCCATTTTGTTGTGCAGAACCTACTTTCACAGAAGCTGCCTTTTCCCTTGAAGCCTTTAAGAGTTGGTTGACTGTCAGTGAAGCCTTATTATTTGCTTGAACTGGCTGAGCAGCTGGTTTAGACTCAGATACACCCTTATTAACATTGCCTACTATGCTATTAACCTGTGATGCCCTAGTACTGGAAATAATTGTAGTAGGCATAGAGGGAGCGCCAGTACCAGAGGTAGTCATCACAGGTATACTCACTAAAAAAGTCTGTGGCTGAGAGGTATTCTGTTGTAGCACAATATTCTGACCTGGTAGAAAATTCCCAGGAGATCCCAATCGAATGGGATTCTGAATCACACGGCCAACATTAGAAAATGCTGGTCTATGGGTTGAAGTAGTATTCTGAGATCGTGGAGAAATAACTGTGGAGCCTCTGGTTATATTCTGTCTTCCCATTAAATTTGTTTGCTGTGCCAATCTTGGTGGACTGCTTAATACATTTACTTGTCTTGAATTAATATCAGGTGATAAAAGTGATTGACCAGCTGCTCTTGGTTGCTGTTGAATTATTCTAACTTGTCCAGGAGTTCTCTTTTGATCTGATGCCGATTGAACTAATGACACATTTGATATAGAGGATTCGGTACTGCTTAAACGTTTGTCCTTTGATTCGGATTCAGTTTCCTCCTTTTTGGGGTTAAGTACACTAGAAGCTAATTCAAACACCTGATTCATATTTGAAAATAAATCTTGTTGACTTCCTGTTAGTTTCATTGGTGGTTTGACAACTACAGAAGATGCTGAAGTATCTGACAAAGAAACTACGGATGACATGTTCATTAAATTTCCCAATGCTGAATCACTGACTGAGATACTATTAGAAACTTGTGTAACAGCTGTCATACTAGCAGAAGTATTTTGATAAGTCTCTGTAGTAGAAGTAATGGTAGATGTGGATAATTCGTGTTTTATTGTTCCTGTGGATTGTTCCTGTTTCATTGTGGCTGTAGCTACAGTGATATTGGTGGACATTGAAGGGCTATCTCTTGTTAATAATGATCTAAACAATGGTGAGTTCATATCATCTTTGGCTGTAGACATGGCAGCAGAAACAGACAAATCCAATACTTGTGATTTCTGATCATTGTAACTATTACAATATTGATGTTCCGATTTAATAGATGCCCCCAGTGAATGTAAACCAAGCTTAGAATATGGGTCATAAACCTTAGGCGAAACAGTCGGGTTTGACTTTGGTGATAACATTGTGTGAGTTCTTGGTGATAATGCCTGTTTGGACTTTGGTGGTAATGCCTGTTGCGATCTTGGTGATAGAGCTTGTTGTGATCTTGGTGATATAGATTGATGCGACCTTGGTGATATAGTCTGTTGTGACCTTGGTGATAAAGCCTGTTGTAATCTTGGTGATAGAGCCTGTTGTAATCTTGGTGATAGAGCCTGTTGCAATCTTGGTGATAGAGCTTGTTGTGATCTTGGTGACTTAGGAGTTATATTGGTGGTCTGCTGTTTTGTAACCATAACCCCTTGTGGATATACAATAATCTCATTATCCTTTGTCTGAGCTCTAGAAAGGTCACTGAATGATAAATGATCAGTTGTTGTTTGAATAAATGGAGAAGGCATTTGGAGAGGACTTGTTCCTGGTTTACTAGTACAATTTTGAAGCATTTTCTGTTGTTTTATCCATCGAATAGTCGGCATTAAGAAATTGAGTCTATTAAATTCATCTTCTTTGCTGGTAGTGGATTCCTGCTGTGATAATGGCATAAACGAATAGCAACTAGAAGATGGAGGATAACTTTGTCTATGCTTTTTCTTAACTTCCCCAGAATCATGTCGAGTTTTCTTTGTTGGAGATGATAATGATGTGCTAGCAGACTTTTGAGCACTGGGAGGCTGATCATCTAATGAATCAGAAGATACACTTTCATCAGATTTTCGTTTCTTTGGGATTTTGAAATTTGCATCTTTTTTCTGTGAAGGTAGGTAAAAACTACTACCTTTTGCTGCTACTAATGATTCAAAAGCTGCTTGAAATGACTTTGGACTGTGTTTTTGTTTTTCATCTTTGGGTTTTCTGACATCTTCTAAGTACATATCAATTTTTGATCTGGACGGTAAATTTTTGGTTTCTTCCCTACCACAAATATCAATTTCTTCGTCTTCTGTATCAGAAGCTGAATTAGTTCCATCAACATCATCTTCACTCTTATCATTATCTAAAAATCAAAAATAATCAGTGTTCTTATTTCATCAGAAAAAAATAAAAGAAATGGCAAATTATGCTTCTGTTAAAAGTGTATGTATGAATAAACAAACATCATATGGCTATCCTGTTATGAAAATATATCATCAAATTTAAAAATAAAACAATAATTCTCATAGTATAACTAGAATTTGCAATTTGCTTGTGATCTGGATTTCTAACTGGCAAGCAACAAAGTGAATTGTGTTAATGTTACTGGCCATTTAATATGTTCAATTCATACATAAACTTAGCAGATAAACAGCATTGATTGGGTGATAAATCTGATGAATTCTAGAGCATACCATATAGAGGGACAAATATGTTGCAGGGTACTTCCAAAATGTTTGTTAAATTACCTGACAGATCATCAAATGTAACTGACTTATTTTCATCTTAACATCCTAATAACCCAATAACAAAATGACTGATCTTAATAACCCTTAAAGGCAAATAGACAGTGGTTAATTGTCCAGTGCAAAATTTAGATGCATATTTAGGACCAAGAACATGTTCATGTCATATAGTTGATTGATTTTTTTATGCAACATTCTGCACTCTTGGCTATATTATGGTGTCCAGTTTTTATCAGTGGAGTGAGCCTGAGTACCCAGAGAGATCCATCAATTGGCTAGAAACCTGACAATCCTAGTCAATTCAGACAGGAGTTGAATGTACCAACCACAAGCAGGGTTCAAATTCACATCAGTAAATGTCATATGAAATAAAATCTTAAGGATATTGGATGTTGAATCCCGGTTGAAAATTCATTTTGGTAAATAAAAAAGTTGTATGAAATTGATATACAAGGGCATATTTTGCCTGTTTCTCAGATCACAAGTACTTGTTTTTTGTAAATCCTGACTTCCGAGAACCAGTATGCTCTTATTTGTAATTAAAGGTATGTTGAATTTTTCAGAAGGTATTGTCTTGACATGAAATAACTGTATTTAATTAAACTTAGCTCTTACTCTTTAATCCTAAATGCAAATACCAATTTCAAGACTTTGGTTTAACCCAGCTTGGGATCTAATGCACTTGGACATGTAAAATGTTGACTTCATTTATTGCGTTTTTGCAGTAGTTTGTCCAAATTTACAAGAAACCATTTTTGTTGTTAAAAGGTTAGAATACATATGGACAAAAAAATGAAAGGTACCATCAGTTTTCTTTTCCATATCTTCTTTTATCTTTTTGATAATATTTTGCACTTTCTGTTCTGTAACTTCTGATTTTATATCTGTTGATGCATCTTCATTTTTAGGTCGACCTCTTTTTTTTGGTGATTCCTCTGTGGAAGTAGAAATTGGATGTCTCTTCGAAACTGTCCCTGAACTGTTGGCTCCAATCAATTTGCTGGTATCTCTACATAAAACAAAACAATGTAAATTAACATTCATTTGAACATTCTTTAACCATGTCAGCAAATCATTCTGTCATTAGTGGTGGTTAAATGTGTGAAGAAATTTTTTAAGTCCTTTAAACACACTGAAAACTTCAAAGTATTGGCAAACAGGAAATTTGTGTCAGACAGAGTCAAAAGTGCTAATCACCGGAAAGATGTAATTAAATATGAAGTCATTCTGTTCAAAAGTGTGATGGAAATATTTGTTGGACAAACAGACAGACAAGGTGAATGCAATATAACATGCACTCCTTCAGTTGGAGTACAATAATAAAGGCTTGTTTTAAAGAGTTTAGCAAAAAAAATTTTTTTTTGCCTACCTACCTACCCATCCTTCTGAATGGCAGCGAAAAACAAGAATAGGTTCATTGTTGACAGGTGTGTAAAAATGAAAAAAAATACCTGTTTTTGTGATATAATTTGCTCTGATCATCTTCAGGGTGATGTCCTATATCCTTGCCCTCTTTCCAAAAAGGATATCTTTCAGGCTGGAATCTTTTAACAAATGTATCCATGCTTATTTTAACTCCATCTTTCCGACATTTGCACTAAAATGTATAAAATGTATAAAATGTATAAAAAGTATTAAATGTATAAAATGAATAAAATGTATAAAATGTATAAAATGTATAAAATGTATAAAAATGTATTTAAAAAAATAAAACAAATGCAGATAGAAATAATAAGGTGTTCTTATGCCCTGTAATTTGTTTAGGAAAATTAGATACAAAAATCATCATTACATCGGATGTGACCTTGAGAGGTCATACCGGTGTTATGTTGCGCAGAAATTTCCTTGCGCTTTTGACTGATAACCGAATGTATTTGGTATAATTACGCGGATATTATCGAGTGCAAAATAACATTACTTATCGCTTGTTATATATTAATTTCATCAATAAATATTCATGAAAATAATTTTTAAGATCATAGATAAATGATATGAAAATGTTTTGTCGTGAGAAATATAAATATCAATAACAAATCATATGAAAATGTTTTGTCGTGAGAAATATAAATATCAATAACAAATCATGAATACCGAAAATTTGTGTTGCAGAAGAATATCTCGAGAATGTTTTGCAACAAAAGCGGGAAAATATGATTGCCTTCTCAAATCCAATCTATTAGAAAAACGAATTAATTTATTACAGAAGAGTGTCCACCATGCACTTGCACAGCACTATCATTAGAATAGTAGAATAGAATGATATATAAATGGATAAAAATTTGCCTGTAGAGTTATTAAGATGATCTGCTATATATATAACTGTTATACAAATATTAATATAATATATAACAACAAACCAGAGTATACTGATAACAAATGATTATATCACTACAATATAATAATTATTACGGTCATTTATTCATCATCCACACAGGAACTTGTCTCAGAATAAAATATATCTATGTATCTTAACCTAACTTTCAGGTATACAGGGTTTGACACTAACTAATTGTATGTACTAGCCTGCAGGGCTAGTGAAATTATTATTCTACTAGTCCTCTTGTCAATTCACTAGCCCTCCAAGTGCCGAAGGCACTTGGACAGTCGTGCCACCAGCACGACCCTTTCTAGGAGGGTCTGGGGACATGCCCCCCCCCGAAAATTTTGATACAAATGAAGCTAAATCCTGTGTTCTGGAGCATTTCGAGAGGGTTTTGAACATGTTTTGTTTCATGAAATTTCACTGGTTTGCTTATAAAAAATACCAAAAAAAAAAAAAAAAAAAAAAATCATATTTTAATCATCTATATTAAGATAGTGTTCGACTTATTTTGAAGACCCCTTTAGATCATTACTTCGTCATTATCCTCATTTTACTTATCAGTATTACTAGTGTCTTTAATGAAGATGGATAAGTTAGGGATTTAAAAATACACCCACAAAAGAGGAAAGCTTTGCCCTTGCTGTTTTTTGTCATAGTTCTTCATGGACTCCTTCTTTTCCCTTGTTGTTTCAGTTTATTTTTTTTTGCAGGACAAGATTTTATTCCTAAAAATCTGTATATTTTTACCAGAGACCAAGGAATAGTATAGTATACAAATCCTTGCAGAGACCTATAATTTTGTTTTTATGACAATAATTCAGTGATATTGTTTGCCTCAAATTACATTCGAAATACAGCTTTTTCCCCTAGAGAAAATTCCCAATTACTAAAAAACTGGCTTAAAATTCCTCCCAATAAGTTGTACATTTTTCCCAAACAGTGATGGTATCGGTAGTAATGTATGTAAATTTCGTATTCATGTTATTATTTTGATATTATGAAAGCACTTTTGAGATCGAGGTTTTCGGTTTAGAATCATCACGGCGTTTGTTACACACGTGGTTAATTCAATGTATTAAGTACCATCATTGTTTCCGTTTCTTTCCCCTCCCCAAAAAGTACCTTTCATGTTAAAAATGTCTGACAATCAAAATATACGTGAATGAACTGTACAATAAAGACAGCAAAGGTTAGCAAAAAATCTGGGATTTGTTGACAATTAAAATTTTGTGAAATTTCTAGTTTAAAACAAAATTTTGACTAGCCCATCGGACTACTGTGATGAAAACTTTACTAGCCCTCCCTAATTTTTACTAGCCTCGGGCTAGCGGACTAGCGTTAGTGTCGAACCCTGGTATAGAGATATGACTTTTTTCTGAGACAAGTGCTTGTGACCATCCACCAGAACTTGTGACATCATTGATATTCTTAGAACAGATATTAGATTCCTGCACCTTGCAAAGTTATGTAATTTTCTTGACAAGTATAACATCATTTTGTGACTTGAATATCTGAATATCAAAGCATATATTTTATTGATAAATTTCTGGAAATGTTCATGGATAGGATGTATAGAATGTTATGATCAATGCACTATATTTTGTGTATCTCAAAGGTAGTGATAAACCTTGGAAGATTTAGATATCATGTCAGTAACATAGGGTTTTGATTGCATTTCATGCAATCTTTACCCAAAAATTCTATTATTCATAAACACTGATATTTTTTTAAATCTTTTTTTTCATAAAGGGGTATTTGCTAAAATTATTGAGCAGGGAGTAAATCTTAGATCAACTGTATTATTTCTTAAAATTGAATTGTTGCAACCTTACCTGATGGCATCTTTTTCCATACTCAATCCATCTTTCTGTTGCAAAGTTAGTAGATTCAGCACAGTTAAATCCATGGTTATATCCTGCATGGTAACCAAAAGGAAATGTGACCATAAATTCTCCAGCCTCTTGTGTTATCTGCAAATGAAAACAATGCATTATTCGTATTTGATATTTTAAGGTTCTCTCATTTCAAATCCAAAATGATTGTTAATCTTGAATATTTCTTGGCCCCAAATTACATTTACATTATTCATTGAAAGACCATTTTTTTAATCTAGACAAAATCCCTGAGTCCAAATACAATCAAACCTGTCATTTCTATGTAATGTCAATGATTAATGATGAAAACTTACAATTCTACCATCTGTGTTTAGGGAACCTACTCAAAAAGATTACCCAATTTCTTTGATGTCTTTCATATAGATAGTTTTCCATTAGCATAATATGACTTAGAGTAATTTCCCTTTGCCAAAATGATGGAGGGCAAACTGGTTGGTTTTTCTATTTGACTAACCAAATTTAAGCATGTGGTACAAGTAAGACTGATAAAAGATCATGACTAAAACAAACAAAAATTGTTCAGAAAATATCTTTTTCTATAGTCTAACAATTAGTGTGTATAACTAACAATGACTAAGATGAATTTGGTTATTTTAATGAAAGAATTTGCACACTTTACCTTCAAACATGTCATCAAAAGGAAATAAATCTACAGTATAACTCAATCTTTGTCAATGAAAATCTATCTTTATTGAGGTTGCGAGAGCAACTTTCTTTTTTTAATAAATAATAAATACCCTTTTCAGAACTATACATTAGTCTGATGGATAGCTACCATATATCCATTATTGAGTAAGTTACCAATGTAGATATGCTTACCTTGTTAAAGGGTATGGAGTATTGCTTCAGTATTGCTGGAGAGATAAGTGTCATTTTATGTCTAAGGAAAGCTGGACAAGATTGGTAACTGCTAGGGAAAAATCCTGAAAAGAAAGAATGTTTATATAATCTGACTTAAGGTTTAAAAGAAATACAAAACATCACAAAGTTAATACAAAATATATAAGTAATAAATACAACGTAAGCAGTTGTATCAATTATTGTTACTTAATTAAATATGTATCTGTAAAAACTTGAGAAAAAATAATCATGTTGAAAATTAAATTAAACTCTCTTCAAAAATGAAAAAGTTTGGAAACTTTCAAAAAGGTGATTTTTATTTCATGCTAATTAAAAGAATAAGGCAAATACACTTTCTGTTCTTAGAGATCAAACCTATTTTCTTTACACGGACTTATTTAATTATTTAATAATATTTTACCAGCAGCTAATCTTTCTAGTCTTCTTCCATGTTCTGGAGGTATGGCATACCAACTCTTAGGTGCACCAAAATGAACATAATTAATGCTGTATAAATCCATATCCTCTGTATGCCAAGGAAAAGTCGTCTTCCACATTCCAAAGTATAAGTAAGCTGTGTTAACACCTTCAATTTTGATACCATAATCCCCATTAACATAATCAAGGATGGTTCCAAGACGATTAATGTTCCAGATATCTTGATCGGGATCATATAGACTTCCTGATATGTCAGCGCCATAGATTGGATTTACAAATGTTATGTTCTTCCAATATTTTCTCTCAAGTTCTTCATAGTCAAAATGTCTTGGGGTCTTGTATCTATTTGATAAACAAAATAAAACAAGCATTCTGAGAGTATTGCATGGCAATACATAGTCCCCTACCAGTTAAAAATTCATTATACTGAAACAAAATTGATCTTTAACTTGTAATGGTGTAAACTATATAACAAATATCAAGTCAGCATGACGCCAAAAAATGTGGAAAACTGATTATTTAAGTGAATTTTCAGTGTCCAAGGACCATAACTTGGAACAAAATCATCAGACCGGAACAAAATTTGAATTTGATCAGTTACTTGTCATCATAAAACTATATACCAATTATCAAATCAATATCTTCAAGAATGACAAAATAAATTAGGAGGAAAACTGATTATTTGAGTGAATTTTCTAAGTCCAAGGACCATAACTCTGCACAAAATCATCAGACCGGAAAAAAATTTGCATTGATCTGTAACTTGTCATGATAAAACCATATACCAAATATCAAATCAATATGTTCAAGCATGAAGAAAAAACGTGTGGAAAACTGATTTGCTGGACTGACGGATGGACAGACAGACGGACGGAGTGCAAACCTAAAGTCTCCCTCGACTTCTTCGGTAGGGGACTTATAAAGTAATTAACTACAATATTCCAGTATGTTCTAGCACATGTTGTATATATATAAGTTTACAGGGCGAATAGAAAAGTTCAAAAAATTACCCCAAATTCTTATATATATATGAATTTCCAAATATTTATAAAAGGAAAATAATGTTAGTTGTAATCTATGAATTACTGTGAAACGGTCTTGTCAGCTAGTTAATTATGTAATTTCAAATTTAGTTTTCAGTTTATCTGACCCTGTTGTATAATTAGGATATAGAGAGTGGATTACAAGCATTCAATAATATATTGTGTCATTTCATAACTGAATCACCAGTGCTGGAAAATAAAGGTTAACATAACTGAATCACCAGTGCTGGAAACAAATGGTTAACATAACTGAATCACCAGTGCTGGAAACTAAAGGTTAACATAACTGAATCACCAGTGCTGGAAACTAATGGTTAACATAACTGAATCACCAGTGCTGGAAACTAAAGGTTAACATAACTGAATCACCAGTGCTGGAAACTAAAGGTTAACATAACTGAATCACCAGTGCTGGAAACTAAAGGTGAACTGAATCACCAGTATGGAAACTAAAGGTTAACAAGTCACCTGTGCCAATTTCATATTTTGACAACTAATGCTGAAAGTTACTGGCAAAAAAAATTCTGTATATTTGTGTTGGTAAACATTTAATTATGGTAATTTTGAAAATACACTCAAGGAGGGGTTAAAGACACTGGTATTTTTGGAGGGTAAAAATTAAAGATTGTAGTTTTCTGTTTCAGTTTTGTGCCAGTCGACTCTATTTGGGCAACCAAAATTTAAGATTTTTTTTTAATTTTTTCATTTGATCACCAATTAAAAATCTAATCGTACCTTTCACTGTTGGCTAATTTTTCAAATTCTTTCACAGTTAGACCTTTCTTTTGTATATTATACTGCTGATACAAGCCCTGACATCCTGTTACCACTTGAGTGATAGGCGAAGGAATAGTCATTTCAAGGTCACCATAACCATTTCTTCTTGGTTTCCATTCTGATGGTGGAATAATCTGAAATATTCCAAATAATTCAAATTTTACTTCAGGTACTAGCAACTTCAAAATATCTTAATATATATACATACAGTTCAAGTTTTCTTGACAAAGCTAAGCATCTTAAGTATTTTAATTAAATATTCAATATAATCATGATATTTGAGCAAATATTAAATAAATTGCTTTGCCGAGCGCAGCTGGATACGACCGCAGAGGTCCAACCCTAAACAGTTGGGGCAATAAACTGTTAACACAGAGATATGTCTCGCCTATTTGTTATTTTGATAATGCAAATGTTGAAATTAAAATAGCAATACTTTAACATGTAAGTTATGCAAATATTCAAAGTCAGTGAACCATGACTGAAGGTACATGGCTAAACAATATCCATGGAAATGAGATGTGCCAATGCTAATTCAACTGCAAACCAAATACCATTGACTTTTCAAAAGTCGTTCCCTTTAAACAAACCTGAACACATACATTAACTTGTTAACTATGTGAAAGTTTCAAAGTCAATGAACCATAATTAGGGGGTGGGGTTATATAATCTCCATGGAAATGAAACTTGTAAATGCCAATACATTTATATATCGAATATCATTGACTTATCATAAGTCGTTCATCTTAAACTGACCTAATCACAAACTAATACATGTAAACTAAGCAAAAGTTTCAAAGTCAATAGACCATGAATGAGGGGGCGGGGCCAAATAATCTCCATGGAAATGAAATATGCCAATGCTCATACAACTGCATACCAAATATCATTGACCTACCACTAGTGGTTCCCCATAAACTGACCTAATCACAAACTAATACATGTAAACTAAGCAAAGTTTCAGAGTCAACAGACCTTGACTGAACGGGGGGGGGGGCCAAATAATCTTCAAGGTAATGAGATGTGCCAATGCTAATACAACTGCATACCAAATATCATTGACCTACCACTAGTGGTTCAGCATGAACTAGACCTAATCACAAACTAATACATTGTTGACGTCGCTGCCGCCATCGCCGACACTGGAAACAGCATACCTATGCCTCGCTTTTTGACTCCGTCAAGGCGAGACAAAAATGGACACAATATTCGTGCTTGATACAGGTCTGAATTTGGATTGAAATTAAATGTTTGACACATAATATGTTTCTGACACAGAATAACTGTAGTCAAAGAACTTAAAATTTATGATTTGAATTTATGTTCAATTTTTTGCTTTTGGGCAAATCAATATGCTGTTGCGAATTGCCCCCCCCCCCCCAAAAAAATTTTTTTTTTCTTTTTAATTTTAATTTCTGAAATCTGTAATGAGAAAAAAAAAGTGTACTCTCCCAAAGATATGGTCATTATCTCAATTCAAATTTCCAATGGAGTTTGCAACAATAATTACCCATTTAAATACATCATAAAAGTCTTAAAATAAAAAATGACATACATAATCATGTCTAAAAATAATATATCTTTAATCAGCATTTTTATTAGTAACTTCTAAAAATAAATTGACAGCTAATCACCAAGACAATACAAAATTTCTTTATACATAATTTTAAAGCAGTGTAAGGGAGGTAATCCAAATTTAACACTGTACTTAAAAGTGATTGTCCATTAACAAGGAAACCCTTGTTTTTCCCCCTTTTTTGCCCCTAATTCCTAAACGGTTTGAGCCATTTACCCCCAAAGCCAATCCTAACCATCCCTTTGTGGTATGGAAACTTGTTGTACAATTTCAGAGAGATCCATACACTGTTCCACAAGTTATTGTCTGAAAACTAGAAAAATGTTTATTTGGGCCCCTTTTTTGGCCCCTAATTCCTAAACTGTTAGGACCATAACCCCCAAAATCAATCCCAACCTTCCTTTTGTGGTTATAAACCTTGTGTTTAAATTTCATAGATTTCTATTTACTAATACTAAAGTTATTGTCCGGAAAACAAGTGTCTTCGGACGACGACGACAACGTGATACTAATATACGACCACAAAATTTTTTTGCGGTCGTATAAAAAGGTTTAGTTAACAATATTGTATATAAATATTACCTTTGCTAAACCAGCTTTGTGTGCACCTTGTTCTTCTATATACTTGATGTATTTGGAAAAATCTTTAAATTCTTCCATGGTAGGTCTAAAAACCATAATTTTGGGGATGTTACTTCCCCCACTGGATGACTCCATGATCTAAAAGAAACAAATCAGATTTGATAGACTTGCAAATAATTTATGAGGACACCATATCGCTAGATTTAGTTGTGTATCCAGTTTGGCTCCAGTAATATTTTATTTATTAGCCAGGTCTTTATATGTACTTCAAAGGTAACTTGCAGAAATTGACAACCAGATGGGCTACTGAATAATATTTTAGAAGCCCAGAAGATATGTAGGGACTATGAGCTACTGGGCCCAGTCTTATTTCCAAAATGTATATGTAAACATTACATGGTCTATTTATTAGCAAGGTTATATAACAAAGGACAGAATCAGAAAATCCACCAATGTAAAGTCCAAAAATGAAGTAGTAGTACTATACAGAATATTCTTCAAATAGACTCTCAACTTTTATGCTATTGACTTAAATTGTTAAGAGCTAGTCTGTAGGACTACCACTATTTGTTCAATGCTTCATCTAAAGCATAACAATTTTTCTATTTTATTTCCGAATTTCAGGAGTATTGACTAGATATTTTCTAGGTAAAAATAAATCTTGAATACTGTGGATTTTTTAATATTCGTTGGATACTAATTTTCGTGGATTTTGTGGGTACAGGGGAACCACGAATTTAAATGTTCAACGAATTACAAATTTTCTTTAGGAATGTATGCAGACTTTGCCAAAACCACTAATTTAAATATCCACGAATATGCAAGTTTTCCTCAATCCATGAAAATTGGTACTCACGAAAATAAATGAATCCACAGTAGCAAAAGGTAAGGATCAACCATTTTAAACTCATCTTTGCATATTATTCGGTAAGTCAGCTCACATACTGTCCAATGAATCAACAGGTACCCATAACATTATGGATACTTGAAAATAATGGCACATGATACACATGTTGTTTGATGTGTGAGAAAGACATACATTTGTAGAAGCTTTTTTCTTACATCTCAGGTTGTGAATAATAGGGCTCACACTACTTCATAATCATATGTGGTGAGACTTAAAAAACAAGTGATTGTTTGCTCCTGGTGCTATGATGTTTGGTTTTTACCATGATATTCATCTACATCTATATAGAGAGTGCAATTGTATCCTACTCTATAAGTTAATTACTTTTTGTATAGCACGAAACTATTATGTTTTATTCTATGCTCTGAGAATACCATTACAATTGTCTCAGTTTATATCTTAAACTGTCATTTATAGTTACACAATTGTATTTTTCCACTAGTCAACACTACCATATAAATATCTGGCACTGTAGCAGATTAAAAAGCAAACAAAATTAAAAAGAAAAAGAAATAATCATTTATCAATTAAAGTTCAAAGAGGGAAACTCTTAGGTTTATGATATTCATTGCTTCTCATTAAAGACTGTATACATGTATATATTTTTAACAAATTTAAGCAACTTATATCAATAAATAAAACAATACATTTGCATTAAATTATATACTTGTACTTAAGGGCATGTTTAAATCATTGCATATATTTATCTCTTTTGGGCTCATTATTCTCCTGTCAGCTGAGCCATGCTTGCATCTGTATATATTATCGCTAATAAGGATTTTTGTCATTGTTGGTCTGCTTCAATCCGTTATAGTAATAAATTTCAATGGCAACTGATGAAAATAAACATATTGAAATATTTGGAAAGGAATATGAAGTTTTTAATGCAATAAATATATCAAGCAATAACTGAAGTGACTTTAACCATGTTTCAATGAAGAAACAAATCTAATTTGTTGAAAATCAGAAATTTTTGATGTACACTTGTGAAAAAATAGTTGATCAGCACTGCATTTTAAAACTTGTCTGCAACATTGCTGATATAAACATGTGATATAAATATCATAAATATCTGGCAAAAATTGTAGCCTTGAGAGTGATTACAATGTTATTTTATATTGAATTTACATTTCTACAGGACATAACTTGAAATAATAAATCAGCACTCATCTATTTTAAAATTAGTCGCCAATACAGGGGTCACCACACTTCAGAATTATAGTCACTTCTCCCTGGCAGCCAAACAGGGTGAAATGAAGACCCAACAGGGACTACTTCTGGGAGAAGTGAAGCCCCAACATGGAGACTTCAGGGAAAATTGAAGGATCGTGTTAATACTTTTTAAGAATCAAATTTTCCAAGCATCTATACCTTTTTGTTATTTTTCAAAGCATTTTTGCATGACAACTGCTAAGGTGGTATTTCCTTGCATTGCCATGCTTGTGGTCTGAATTGCATTTGTACCTATGTATGCAAATTGTCAAAAAATATCATAAGGACCATAAGTCCTATGGTTGTGCAGCTAGGTCTGAATGAATTGAAGATTTGACATTGGTCAAATTTTGCTGCATCTCAAAGATTTTTTCAAACAAAAGTATGTTTTGAATTGCTCACAATTGTGTTTAATAACATTTAATAAGGCAAGAACCCTTTAAAAACAAAATAATAATCAATTGATTAATAAATTAAAATATCTTGAATACAGTCTTTCATTGCTCAGATCATAATTAAAAAATATATTTGTTCTTTAAATTTTTTTTAATAGGAATTCAGAAAGAAAAACTGTTTGTCACTTGTTGAAATCGTAAAGTAAAACTCTGTTAATTTCAAATCGTGTGCAATCCCCCTTTTTTTAATGAATAAAACCCCAAAACTCAGAAATGGTAAATCTGAAATTTATAAAAAAACGAAAGGGAGCTCACGTCAATAGATATAAACAATTCACCAAAGTTTCATGCAAATTGGTTAAAGCGTTTTTGAATTAATGTTTGACATGTTGAAGACAGACGGACAGACGGACGAACAGATGGACGAACAGACAGTCAACGATATACCATAATACGTCCCGTAAACGGGCGTATAAAAACAAAGATGGCAGGCAAATAAACAAACATTGCAAAATCTATTTTTTTCTTGTTTCTTGCTTATAGTGAGATAGAACATCCTGTCAAGCAATTTTAATGTTGGAGTATAATACCGTGGACAAATCAGTTCTGAATTTGGGGATAACATGTTTTGTATTTTGTCAACTATTGGGTCGTTTACGTTTGGATCAAGAGGCTACATGTTCATTGGTGAATTTTACTGAAAATCGAGGGCAACATAAACTTCTCCCTGGAGCTTCTCTTGACTGGCGTAGTGGGGAGTCCTAGTGCGACTATGGCGACTATGTCGCTCACTTCGCCTGGTGTGGTGACCCATGCAATATAGCTGATATAAACCTTCTACATATATAAATTTATCGCAATCCTACAAGAAATGCAGGCTTGTGAGCATTTACAAGTGTGACGGGATTGCTTCCCTTAGAACATGTAGTAGGTACTTAGCCACAGGGTTGGCAAAGTATTACCGGAAAACCCGGGTTTTCACGGGCTGACCAATACTCCAAGAAATGGGTTGTACTGGGCAAATGATTTTTTAAGCTTATTTTTTACAAAGAATAGTAAAGACATATTTAGTTTCATAGTATTATAGCTAAATACATACATTTTATACAGATAACCATTGAGAGCCAATTCTAGAAGATTGAAAATTCAATTTCTTCCTTTTCTCAACTAATTTTTTGTAGGCAGAATACAAGTTTTGCACATTTTAGGAGACCATGTTAATTTCCAAGCTTTGTTTCAATACTCCAAACTTAGAAAAGTTGCATTTAATTGCAGTGTTTAAGTGAATTGTAAATTTTAATTGTTATATATACAATCATATTGCTTAATAAACACCCTAAGGGGACAAGTCATAAAAACTTATAGAAATGAAAAGGCTGAATATTGTTATATAAACAAATCTGTGTTATACATGTAATCTAAATAATTACTTGTTAATGAATGATGTCCACTTCATTTGAACTTTGATGGATATTTGTCTCATTGGCAATCATACCACATTCCCTTATTTTTATATAGATATGCTAAAACTTAGTAAACATTTTTAGCAATGAACAAAAATTGTTAAAAAGTAATTTTCCTTACATATAATTGTTCATCATGTTCATTCTTAATTTTAGTTATATCAGTGATCTCAATGACCTGTTTTATGATGGCGCACCACTATCGTTAAAATATCTTCCGCACCGTCAAATGATTCAATGCCATCACAAAATTTGTTTTCGTTTCACTAGCCGCCATTTATGTTAGCAATTATCATGTAATTGCATAACACTTAGGCACATTGTATTGTAATCCAAAGGGTCCTCTTGATTAAAGTTTTAAAGCCCTGAGGGATATCCGGCTAAAGATTGCTAATCACTTGTACAGGTAGATGGACACGGGCGTATGACATTTGCGACGGTTATAAAAAGTTTTGATCTTTCATTTGCGCCGATTAAGCACAGGTAAATTACAGGTGAATGTTATTTTATAGTTATCAATATAAACCTCTTCCGTGAGCCAGTTGTACAAATGTACATGTTATAAATTGTCAATCATAACATGTATATAACTGTTGTCCCCTGCAAATATATTGTTGTCGTTTTCATCTGGCACATAAACTGGTGGAGGAAAATCCAGTCTGTTGGTTTAAGTATACATTTTTAAACAGAGTATAAAGACAAATCAAGTGACACTGGTAAATGGCCATCTCAATTTTTTACCTATCATTCCTTCCCCCAGATGAAATCGAGGACTGCTTCACGTTTGACATTAGGTCTGAAGCTCCTTCTGATGACAGATGTCATGCACTCTTAGACTACGTATTATTAAAGTATTTATATATGCTTAACTTCAAGTTATTCACCTTATTTCTGGGCAGCTACACCCGTTGAAAATTGTAAGAGGACGAATAACAGTCCTGATTCGTTTCATTCACATAAATTGACTTCTATTGCTTGAAATCCTTATTTCACCTCCCCGTGGTGAGCAGGGGACAACAGCTATATACATGTTATAATTGTCAACAGAAGAGATTTATAATGATAAATAAGAAATAAGAAATAACATTCATCTGTAATCTACCTGTACACAATCGACGCAAATGAAAGAAAAAATCGGCGCAAATGAAATAAATTGCATCGCCGAGCTCAGCTGGATACAACTGCACAGGTCCAACCCTGAACAGTTGGGGCAAAAATGGACACAATATTCGCCCTTGATACAGGTCTGAATTCAGATTGTAATTAAATATTTGACACAGAATAAGTGTAGTCAAAGAACTTAGAATTGGTTATTATATGATTTGAATTTATATTCAATTTTTTGCTGTTGTGCAATACACTATGCTGTTGCGAATTATACCCCTCCCCCAAAAAATATCAAAGAGCTTAAGAGCTCTGAGGGAAAAGACGGCCATTGTTTCTATTTATTGGGGTATCTTTTGATAGTCTTCATACAAAGAATGAGCAAAAGAACTGCTAGAACATGTAGAAAGGTTGACAATATTGAAATTAGTTGTTGTTTAATGTAATTTCATTTCCTTAGTCAAGAATTCATCATGGAGTCAATTTGGACCAATGGAAGAGATCCGCACCCTCTAAATCAAAAGCATTTGATTAAAGTTGAAAGTTAATTATCTAAAATTCAATTGAATTCTGTCATTTAATAACTTCTACAATATATTTTTTTATTTTTTGTGTGTTTACCACTGAACTGCAGGCTAGGGTCATTCTCCATTTTTTGTGACAGTGCTATAAGATTTTTAATTGATTACAACTTTCTCAAGAAAGTGAGGACTGAAAAGTCTAGTCAGTTTAAAATTTCCATTGATAAAGTTCCCAGTTACAACTCTCATCACAGGGATACATGTACCTACAAAAATCAATCAGATTGATATAAGCTGTGTGCAGCTTGTTTCAAGATCCTACATTTTGATATATGCAAATTTCATGAATAAATATGTTTAAACTACAAAAAGCAACATTTGAAAATTTGAGAAAAGCTTTTCACATGTCTTATGTGTCTTTATACAAGTCTGGAACAGTACTTTCCCAGATTTATACACTTTATAATAAGAGTCTCAAAGAAGTGAACAATGGTGAACTTATGAATTAAAGTATTGTGACATATTTCTATAAATATCTTTAATGTATTGCATTTGTGGTTAATCACTGAATTCTCTTTAAAATTCAGGCCAGTATTTCATATTACCCGGTATTGCCCAGTATTACCCGATAAAACCCATTAAAACCAGGGTTTTCACAGTTATTTCCCACTGGGCTGGGCAATAGTCATAAAACCCTGCTTAGCCAGCCAGAAGCGGTTGAGCTAGGGAAGTACTTCTGGGGCTCAGTCGGTTAGAGCGCTGCCTTGTAACACAGAGGTCCCAGGTTCGAGTCCCTGGGGAGACAAAGATGAATTTGTGATATGAATCATGCTCTCCAGTTCCACATGTACCATGCAATTTTCCATAAAATAAATATTTCCATTGGCACAACTCATTAAAAATATTTGTTTGGCATTGACTTTCGACTAGTCCCAGACATTGGTGATATAAACCTTTGGGTTTAGAATTCATAAAAATTGGGCAAGAACTGTACAGGTGAGAGCGCTTAATAGACGGACAGATGTCCAGTATAGAATAACGCATTGCACAGGGAACAAAAATTACTGTTAAGTCCAGTATGGAATAATGCATTGCACAAGGAACAAAAATTACTGTTACATTTTTTTGTAAATCAACTTTGTAAAAATGGAATATTTATTAACATATATATGACAAAAGCAACTGTTTGAACACCCATGCAGCTAGACATTGGTTTTGGAGGTCAAGAGAAGCATCTCTAGTTCTAGATACCAAAAGTGTGAGCTCTGTATTAATGAATTTGATGTGGCTTAATAACTATGATACCCATGTTTTCTGAAAGTTTTAAAATATTAGGTTTTGTTTACCATTTTAACAGTTAAATATTCTTATTCATGTTATTTGCATTTGTCAAGTGAAGCATAACATGCTAAATTCACATATAGAATATTTGGAATTTATTTCTAAAAATTTGGTAATACTGTTACAGGGCTACCAAGTCTCACGCATTTAGCGTGAGACTCACGCATTTTCATGCTTATTTGGCATCATTTTCCTTTGATCTATTGTTTTTTCTCTTTGATCTTTACGATTTTGGCCAAATCTCACCCATTTGCATTATTAAAAGTTGGCAGAACTGCTGTTATACGTTTTAATTTATGGCTAATTCATAGGATCCTAAAATCTATGCATTAATTAATATTTCTTATTCAAGTAGTTGAATTTTTTAATCTTTCTTTAGTTTGTTGGAAAACTTTCCTCATCTTAGTCTAACAAGAGCAGATATATCCCATAAGAGGTCTGCAAAAGGATTAAAGATTAGCTGTTTTCATTATTAACAAACTTGACATCAGAAATTCCCAAACACATGCATTGACGTGTGTAAGGAAAAGTCATATCTGGAATGCTATTTTAATTTTTATTACTATTTTTCTACCCTAGTTGGGGGTACCGGTGATCAACAATATGAAAAGTAGTCCCGGCAATACACTAGTTAATGAACACAGAACAGTAGTTTCTTTCTCAATCACCTCCCCGGTCATTAAGTAACACCCTTGGTTTGTTAGCAATCAATGTAAATGTCATTTGACAAAATCAGAATATGATAAACCAATATTCACAACCAAAACTTGTAAACAGGAAACGCAGCATACTTGGTTCAATATGGCGGCCGCTAGAACGTTTGATTACATAGTAAAAGTAACTTTTGATCAAACTGTCACTATGCATCGTTAATTTGACACTTGCAATCAAATATTAGTTACGTCATACCGTCTTAGCACTGTGCTAACTTATCATTTCTCATCTTGTCACAGTAACCTGAAAATACGTGACAATAACACAATCAAAAATGTATTCCTGAGATTTCTGACCACAAACCTCTCAAACAATCGTCAAACTTGAGACAGTTGAGCAGGATATAAAAATTTTGATATTCCCTGGCATAGCATTGACCGAACTTAACATTTCTTACCCTTACAAATTTCCTATGGAATTATGTTGAATAATAAAACGGAAATATTAATTCGGTAATCTAGTGTTCGTTTAGTTTCCATTTTAGACCGCATAACATTGTATTTTTTTCTGACTACTCGAAAATATATCCCCGATTATTCATTCTTCATCCCGACTGATTTTTATGTCAAATACATTTAAACATGTTTATTTGTGAAATTCTTTATAGGGCGTTTTGCAAGTTGCGCCTCAATTATTTAGTTGTTGTTTCCCAAAAGTACTTGAATTATGAGCTGCGGATGAATAAGTAATTCTTGCATATCATTAATTAGAGTAATAGTATAGTTTGTTTCGAAATATTTATTAATGCTATATACAAAAAAGGTTTTTTATGATGTTAAACGCCATTTCCGTACTTAACATGTTTTTTTTTGTTTGAAAACCGAAGTGTCAGAGGTATACCATCTACCCTTTTTCGAGTAATTGACAAACTCGGCCATATACTAGTAGATCGAGCGCACCTTGGAGTCAGTCACCCGAATGCGGAGAGGGGGGGTGTCCTAGTAGTGAAATAAATACTTGAAAATTTGTATCTGCTACTTCTCCTAAGCACGTTAAGTAAGACTAGTGACCCTGCGTAGTCACTTTTATAGCCTCTGTATGAGGTCATACGAGGTTATATCGACATAAGAGAAGCATATGGACTGAGGACTAAGTCCGAGGTCGATATAATACCGTATTGACCTCAACCAAAGGCTACAATTGTTGTATTATTAATCAACAACTATTGCATGAACACACAATGTAAAATTGGGGATTTCTCAGAATGTATTTTTAGTAACAGGCTGTATGCCCTGTGCTCTGAGGCGGGCCTGTGTTATATTCTGTTTTTGACCTACGAAAAGCTAAACACAACAGTATTGGCGTGCAAACTGAGTAAATACAAATGTACATGTGATCAAAGTTTTAATGAATCAAAAATCCTTGAAAATATTCGATTAATAATATATATATATATACATATATTATACCAAGACATTTGTTTTACATGCACACGTATAAAAATTGCGGTTTTTATCCAACGCAATCATAGGTTTGAACGGTTGTTTTGAATTTAGACTTTTACATATACAGTCGACTCTCGTTATCTCGACACGTGTATTGTCAGATTAACTCTTCAATCCATTTAAATCCCAGAGGTCATGTTTTGACATATATGTATTAGTTCGAGATAAATAATGAATTTCGAATGCTTTTGTTAACTTTGGGACCGTAAATTTAGTTCGACTCAACCGGAATTTCGACTCATCCAATTTCGACTCATCAGGAGTCGAAATACATATATTTATATGGAACAAAGTTCGGGACCACGAGAAAACTTCGACTCATCCGAAATTTCGAGTCAACCGAGTTCGAGACAACGAGAGTTAACTGTATTATAATATGTCCTATTAGGGTGACATGTTTTCGATTTAAAAGACAAGAACACCCATCTTTTCACTTTAATCTTTTCATTACTTGGACATATATATAGGATATTGCAACTCTTTATTTCTAGAAATAAAGATATATTTCTATTATTCGGCTGCATTATTCTTAAAATAATTTTCATGTATATTGAATATTTAAAATGACAAGAATTAAAGCTCACCCCTGCTGTTCTCTGGACCATTATACGATTATCTAATAGCACAAATTAAGATTGTATACAGTTTTAATCACACATTTGTTATTTTCATTGCTCTAAATAATTATTCTCCATTTAAATTGGGTTAAATTTTTATAAATATTCCATGATTGCAACAGAATGTAATCATCGGATTTCGATGGAATATTGTAAACCTAAAGAAGAAGAAAATAAATAAAATTGTTGACTGAAATTATATAAATAGTTATTTAACATTTACTTTTAGCAGATTATCATTATGCAAAAAAGAAAATGGAAAAATAAGTTGACAAATATAAATGAACTCAGTAAATAACTAGGAGGAAAAATTCAATTCCTGTCATATTGTACCTGTTTTTCTGGCCCTTCATGAATCTATGTCTTTATTCAGACAGGAACTACTCTTTAAAATGTCAAGAACGGTTTAGACCTACGAAGGCATATGTTACTTTTTGCAGGGGCGTATCTACCCGGAGGCACGGCAGCACGTGCATCCACGTCGTTTTCAACAAAAAAAAAAAAAAAAAAAACAGAGAGAGAGATAGAGAGAGAGAGGGACAAAGTTAAAATATAGGAATTGGTCTTTCTATGTATGCATTTTAAAAACTACCCAAAGAATAAAAGCAAAAGGAATACACATGCAGCGAAATTGTTAATCCTATGAGACATGTATACATACAACTGGTGTAAACTTAGCGGAACTTTTTATATTACGGGCATTGTTTAGAAAATACCAGCTACATAGTTGTCGGTACCACCACCATAACGTATACTCGCCTTGAGGGCAAAAAAAAAGCATTATCCCTTTAGGGTTAACAAAAAAACTTGAACATTATTATTTTCCGCTTCGCCCAAAAGCACACATCTTACTAGAACGAAGACTCTTCAACTCGTATCGATCCGGGAATAATGACTGTTACCTTGTGAACTAATTCAAAATTTACTAAGTATGTAGGTCTTGACAACACGAATAGTTCATTTTCACATCACGTCAACGGATTCTCGTCCTTGTGTGCATGTAATATTTGTTACCGGACATTAATAACCATTCAATCAATCAATAGTTTCCGTATACTAGTAGTAGATGAGAAGTTGGAACTGCTGTTATAAAAAAGTACACATCTTCAAGTACATGTATTACGTACTTATTTATTTTACCAAAAAAAAAAACATCTTGTATATGGATTCGATAATTCGAAGTCGTTTCTATATCGGCCGATAATACGAATGGTTGATTGTAAAAGTATCTAAATAAATTGTTAATTCTAACTCGTTTTACTGAACTATTTGGTCATTCGATTTTATAATGAATTCTCTGTCCGAGTCGGACACTAAACTGCTGATTTTTGTTCGAAAGATACACCAAACTTTCAATACACGTATCTTCACTGTTATCATCTAGATATTGCCATACAACTGGTCGAATACATAAGTATTTGTCAATTAACAAACGCAGATCAGGAAAAAGATCGTGATCGATTTAAAGTACCATTCCCTCTGAAAAAGTTCATTAATTTCAACTTCGAGAATTCCTAACTGCGTAAAATTAGAAATTCCTCTCTCTCTCTTGTAGAGTTTACCCACAAATGTTTTAAACATCTAAATACATATGTTAAGCAAAATATTGCAGAATATTGGAGAATGTGTCCACCAAGTATTTGGTACCCAATGATGTTTATGCTAACAGAAACTCCACATATAGTATTGTGTTTATGTTTATTGTTTGTTTTTTTATACATCTACTTTGTTCAATACAAATACTAGCATATGGAACAGATCTCCGTGATTTTAAAAGCTCTCACGGCGTATAAAAAACGCAAACGACAATGTTTAGTCTTCATTCGACTCGAAGTTAAACAAATAGATGACCAAAAAACCACAACAAAAATGTAGTTGTGATCGTTTTGAAACGCTATATATGCGGAGCTTCCGGGGGGCTTTGCCCCCCCCCCCTTGGCCCCCCTACCAGGGCTTTGCCCTGGACCTACTGGGGGCCTTAGGCGGCCCCAGAACCCTCGCCCATTAGTTTGTGACTCCACTTCATTAAGAAGGTAGCTACGCCCCTGTTTTGTATAGTCATTAATCTTAACTTCGCAACCACATGAGGGGAAATAATGAATACCAATGCAACCTCGTCAAAACTTATAACCATTTCTTGAAACTTTCCGTTTTTTAAATGTAAGTCATTACCACATTAGATGAAATATATATCAGAATTAATTTAAAAGATTTCGATAACAAAATAATATCATCAGTGAACTGATCAGAATGCAAATAATTAATTAAAATGGTGAAGAGGCTCAAATTATAATCATGTTTACCGCATATCTTCGTACAATACCATCATTCACCCGTCTATACGTTTTTTTCTAGGGCTAGTGCAAACATTATAAAAGAAGGACCCGCCCCTATTTTTATTCAATTCCAGTGGATAAGATTATCACTTGTTTTTCTTTTAATCTGCATACAGTGTGAACAAGCAATTATCTCATCTTTATACATCTTTTTATAAGGTAGAATTAACCCTACCAGACAGACATGTATATACACCTTACAATCATTCCATACACAAAATATAATTGACATATTGCTTAAAGTATATGAGAAACGGACATGACTTACGAAAACGTAACAACGACCAATGAACCATAAAATGAGATCAGGGCCAGGTGAACCCTGTCTACCTGACCCCTTAAAACAATTACATATATCTAAATTAATATAAAGTAAAATAAAAAAATACCGAGCTCCAAGGAAAATTCAAAACGGAAAGTCCCTTAATTAATTATCAAAAGGCAAAATCAAATGCTCAAATATATCAAACGAATGGAAAACAACTGTCATATTCCTGACTTGGTACTGGCGTTTCCTTATGTAGAAAATGGTGGATTAAACCTGACTTTATAGCTAGCCAAACCTCTCACTTGTATGACAGTCATATAGCATTTTATTATTTTGACAACAATGTGTGATCATAACAAACAGACATAATAGGTAAAAATGTCAAAAATTGGGGTACAGCAGTCAACATTGCATGTGTTATAATCTTAATCACTATAAAAACAAATAACTATTTAAGCAAAGAAAAAAATGGCATATAGAAACTATATATACAAAGTACATAAGCAAAAATGAAAGACAAGAATACAAAAATGACCAAAGCACAATAACACAATGGCGGGATGAATAATTAAATACATAGCCACGCCAAAAGTATTGACTAAACAGTAAAGGTTAAAATATACCAGTATCACTATTTTGCGGGCTGCGGGTTGCGGGTTGCGGGCTTCTCTTTTTCATTAAATTACAAAGTTACATAAAAATCTAAATACTCATTTTCCTTTACAGGTTAAAAGTGTAAGGTGTATGATACGCCTGTCGCTTTTTCAATGAATAAAGTTCCATAACTTCTCAATGTCATATCAGAAAATTATTAAAACTGAAGGGAGGTTATTTC